ATTAGCTACCCGGGGTTGTACAATTACGGGGGGGTGTTTTATCCGGGAGAATACGGTACTTCCATTTCATGCGTTGTGCCCTGCCTTTTTTACCATGAGTAGTACATCGCGCAAAAATAGTCTTCAACATGGTGAGTAAGTGATAATGTTATACGAAATATTCTAATACAAAATTCCTACAATGTAGTCTGGGCTCTCATAACCCTATAGTGAAACTGATGCTGAATGGTGGACAAGGAGAGGACGTGGCGAGGAAACATAAGCTCGGCTTTGATTGGACATTAAGGCACTAGTGTTTGCCAATTAGATAACGCTAGCTACCGGTACACTGAAAGTTACACTACCAGCACCAGGCCCCATGAAGTCAGAGAAATTTCTCTGATTTGCCTATAAAAGTCTGACTTCTCAGACTTTTTTTTTAGTGTTGTCTGTTAAATTCAGAATTTTTTTGAAGTGTTGTCTGTTAAATTCAGAGTTTTTTTTAAGCCAAGTCTGCAATTTCAGAGATTTTTTTGAGTGTACTCTGATAATTCAGAGTCAAATGCGTACGGACTCTGAAACTGATTCAATGTACCTTGGCACCCACACCCACGATTTGCGCTAGTACGTGTACCTGGGTGGTCAATCACGCGTAACCTGGGACCACACATCAACAGTCATGTTTTGTGGGCGTGGCCGCCCTGCGACGCGGTTTTTTCCTACGTAAACACCAGCGCACACCCTGCTAGAGCACCGATTGGTCCTTATGGCAGCTTCTGTGTGCCATCACGGACCGGCCTTGCACCCACGATGCTGCACTAGCCACCCACGACACAACGCTGACAGCATTGCACTTCTGACGCGCCTCGTCGTTGTCGTGCATGCAAGGCAACCACCCATCCACCTCAACGTGTCCTCCTTGTCTTGTCTATTGCCATCACCTTTCAGCTAGGGTTTCATCCACACCCCCTAGCTGGTGTTGACTGGCCTCAGCCAGTCCCTAGTTCTGCCTCGCGAACACATTTCTTGTTCCTGCTCGGCAGGCTCTTTCTGAACCCCGCCATGGCGGTGCTGGACAATCCCGGCTCCAGCGATCCCGACCCTGATTCCCAGCCTGCCTTAACAGGCTTAGACTTTCTTCTCAGTGCGTTAGAACTCGACAAGGCAGCACGCGCCACGCCCGATACGATCCCCACACAGAAAGAACCGACGGCACCGGTAATCTCACTGTCTGCCGAACCTGTGGCAGAGACACCTGCGGAACCAACTGTGGGTGCGGCCTCGCAGCATTCGCCTCTGACCACGGCGCGCACGGATTCGGCTCAAGCAGGCGACATTGGGCTTCTGCAAGGCATCGTCGTCGTCCGCCGACGTCAACGCCCCCGGAACATCTGAGCGACCGCGTCCACGCCTTAACATCAACCTGGACGAGCTCATCGAAGAAGTCTACGATGAGGCGATAGACAAGTTCAAGAGTCTCTGGTCTGCTCGTTTTCCGTGGCTTCGGATCACTAAAGTCGCCTCTGGTTTGCCTGCGTTCAAGTGTACTTTGTGTGTGTCATTTGCTGGCGATGCAGGCAAGTGCGGGAGGAGTGGGAAAGGTGCTACCGATTTGCAGACACAATCGTTTCGGAAACATGCTGGCACGGCGAAGCACAAGCTGGCGATGGCGAGGTTGAACATATGCGCAGGAGTGTCGGGCGACGCAGCCGCTTATCGACCAACATCGCGCAACGGTTGATACTGAGAAGCTGCGCGTCATCGCCCTTCTCGACTCGTTGCTGTTCGTCAGCAGGTCCGACGCGCCCATGGGGATGTGGGTGAAACTGGTGCGGTATCTGGCGGAGAAGGGCATGCAGGGCTTCCCGAAGAAGGGGTACGGCACGTACTATACGACGTGAGTGATGAACACTTTATGTGAGCTGCTGTAATAATATGTGTTTCCAGTAAGTACGTCAATGATTTGATACTCACTGTTGTTTCTTGTTGCAGATACGGCTTCGGTGAGCTGACGCAAGTGACGGCGACATGGCTCCAGACAACCCAGCTGGATCACATCCTGCTGTCGCCCTTCGTCGGCATCTCGATCGACGAGAGCACTGATAGGTGCAGCGGGAAGCACCTTATCATCTTCATCACCTTCATCCGCGAGTTCAAGCTTGTCACGGAGTTCATGGCCCTACTCACCGTGGACAAGGCCGACGCAGCCTCTCTTCTGGCTAGCTTGGTGTCACACCTGCAGGCGGTGGGGATCGGCCTTCAGCGCATTGCAGGCATCAGCACCGACGGTGCGGCAGTCATGATGGGCAAACAAGCTGGCCTCACGACACGCCTCCGCCTGCGCATCCCACATTTGGTGTCATCCCACTGCATCGCACACAGGTACTGTCTGGAATGTTTGTGCCTAATCGTGCAGTGCAATGTTTACATATTCTATTTGACAGTCTCACTAATGTCCTTCACTCGTGTTGTACAGGGAGGCACTGGCGGCTAAAACTGCCGCCGAGAAAATCCCCGCCTTCAACGTCATTGACAAGGTGATTCGGACAGTGGCAGAGCATCTCGGCCGCTCTGGGCCATGGCACCAGCGCTTCATGGGCTTGCAGGAAGTTTTCACGTCAACTTCACTCGAGCTGCAATGCATTCATACCGTCCGCTGGCTATCGAGGGGTGACGCGGTGCAGAGGCTTCTGCAAGTGTTGCCGGCTCTCATCGTGATGCTGAAGGAGTGGGACGCGGAGCTGTATGTGCTCGTGACAAGCTACAGGTTTTCACTTTCTCCTGTTTTTCATAGCAGACGTGCTTGAGCAGCTCAACATCTTGAACAGGGCCTTCCAGCACAAAGAGGTGAGCTCAATGTTATAGTGTCCTATCATTGTTGTTACATGCTTGGTCAATATCCTCTTCTGCTAAGTTCTAGTGCTGCTTCTTTCCAGCATGCTTACCGTGCGCATGAGCTAACTACCTTGTGCCTTGTTTCTGTCCAGCTTGACTATGTGGGCGTGCATGCGCAGATCAAGCGCACAACGTCCCACATCGAGAGCCGCTACGTCGATTGCGGCGACGACTTCGGTGGTGGCGTCAGCGAGCTGCTGTCCCCCTTCATCACGCGTCACGACCCAGGAGGAAACAAGGAAGTTACTGTCGAGGGTGTTGACTCGGACGGCCGCCCTGCACGCTTCACCTTCAGGCTGCATGAGGACGAGCAAGAGGAATTTGATGGGCCTGGGACCCACGATGCTTGCATTGAGGTCTGCACCCAGTTCGCCGAGGTGATCGTGCACCAACTGCTTCATCGGCTTGGCGATCTGGAAGGGATGTCTGGGGCAAGGCTATTCACCCCCGACGAGTACCCGCTGGATCGAGGAGAGAGGAACCGTAGGTGCATGGAGTGGCTGGAGTCGCTTGTGACCCTTTTCAAGGCCGACCAGACCGAGGAGATCCTGCCCGGTAAGCCCATGTTTGTGTAGTTCTCATGTAACTGTTGTAATTGGCATTGCATATGTTGTGCTTCACTGTATATTCACTAAGCGTCGTCTACTGTTACTCTTCCTCCCCCACCAGGAATCAACAAGCGTCGTGCGGAAAAAGGAGCTGCGCATGTTCTCCTCGGTGCTTGCAGGAGCCACGAAGAACGAGCGCAGCTTCCACGCCGGGCTCACTGCCATGCTCAAGACACCCGACTGGCGGGACAACTACCCCAACCTCGTGCTTCTGTGGGTGGCAGTAGCCGTACTGCCGCTGAGCACAGTGGAGTGCGAGCGGGGATTCTCCCGCCAGAACATCATCAAGTCGTGGCAGAGAGGCGCGCTGAAAGATGCACGCCTAGGAGACCTCATGTGCATGAGTCTCATGGACTACGAGCCCAAGTGGGATGAAATTGTGAACATCTGGAGGAGCTACAAGAAGCGCAAGCCCCAAAGCAACGCTCCACTCCCGCCTGCAGGAAGGCAACAGAGCAAGAAGAGTAGGGAGGTTGATGACGAGATGGAAGTGGTAGACTTAGACGCTGAGAAAGATGCAGTTGACAGTGATGATGACGATGGATTTGCTGACTGGATGTAGGTAGGGTAGTTAGTTAGTTAGTTCTATTCTAACTGTGATCTTGTGAAGGCTAAGCAGCACCATTAGTAGTAGTAGTAGTACTAGTATGAATGTAGGCAAAGCTGTATGAGAAGTGGAGTAGGCTTGCTTCAATATGATTACTAGGGCTACAACAAGCACAATCAGACTTTTACTTGAGTGTACTCTGAAAGTTTCAGACTTTTTTTAAACACACTCTGACGTTTCAGACTTTTTTTTAGACAACTCTGAGGATTTCAGACTAATACTGAGAGAGAGTCTGACGAATCAGACAGGCCAAAAACGAATCTGAGGGCCTGACCAGCACCCAAGCGCCTACACATCAGTTAGGTCATACGGTACATTTATTCAAAAAATATAAAATACAACTACAGTATTCTCCAGGACAAAACACCCCCCCGTAATAGTATACCCCCAGATAGCTTGTGCGGGGGGGTGCTATAGTCGACCTCGTTTGTACTATACCCCCCTTTTTGGGTGATTTTCTATAACACCCCCCTTTTCTTACAGATTCCTATTATAGCTGTTATCGAGTCAGATTCTTTACGGGAGAATATCGCGAGGATGCTTCCTAGATGAAATTTCGCGTGTACTTTCACTTAGAATCTGCCGAAATTCTCCCCCTCCCACAATCTCGCTATCGCCACGCTGGCGAATCTTTCGCTGCAATTAGACATTTCCCCCTCCCACAATCTCGCTGTCCACGCTGGCGAATCTTTTGCTGCAAATGGCCCGAAAGGTGAAACTCACATTCTCGCCTCAAACTGTGATGTTAAACGACCACTGAAACACCCAAATTGTCTAATTAAAAAATGTTCTCACATCCCCCCCCCCCCCCCCCCCCCCCCCTTTTTTTTCCCTGTGGTTATCATAATACCCCCGGGTGTTATGTCCAGGAGAATACAGTATGTGAGCTTTCTAAAAAAAACAGGTCATGTTCAGTAAAACATGTATTGGTCATCGGGGTCAATGCCATCTGCACCGTACAGCTGATCCGCTCCCCCACCTCCCCATACCGCCTCTCCTGCCCCATCCTCGTTATAGTGCTCCTCACCCGTTTCCACATGGTACTGCACCCCATTCACATCATGGTATTCCGTTTCTTCCCCATCAGCTGCATGTGCCTCTGCTGCCTCCTCCTCCTCCTCACCATCCTCACCACCACCACCATCACCTGCACCTTCCCCATTATGCAACCCAGCAGCACCATCCATATCACCCTCCTCCCCATCCACTCCCCTATGCTCCAAATCCTCATCATGGCCCACTCCCATGTCTCCTTCCCCATGCCCTGCTGACTCAGCATCGTACGTAGTTGACTCATCACCATACCCACCCAGCGCGCCATCTCCTCCCCACGCCTCGTCCCCACCCAAGCCTGCTTCTGCTCCACCATACCCCCCTGCGAGCGGCCCTTCCTCTGCCCCTGCTGTCACTGCTTCATCAGCAGCAGCACTACCAACACCAACACCACTAGTAGCACCATCAGCAACAGCGGCAGCAGCCTGATCAGCCCACCGCACGTGCTGCTGTTTCTTTGGCCGGCCCTGCCCAGCTGCAGCATCAGCCCCAGCTCCAGCCCCAGCAGCAGCAACAGCAGCAGTAGCAGTTGCAGCGGCGCCGCCACCATCTGAGAATAGCTGTCCGAGAGCCTCCATGTTGACGTGCGCTGAGCTCTGCACGGTGGAAAGGAGTGGGAATGAAGAAAGATAGAGTGGAGGCGAGTGGAAGGGATTAATGGGTGAGATGGGGAGATCGAAGCAGCAGCAGCACTATCGGAGAGGAGGAGGAGGAGAGGAGGAGGAGGAGGAGGAGGAGGAGGAGGAGGAGGAGGAGGAGGAGGAGGAGGAGGAGGAGGAGGAGGAGGAGGAGGAGGAGGAGGAGGAGGAGGAGGAGGAGGAGCGAGCGCTAGAGGACACAGTGTGGCAGCAAAAGAAAGCCCCACCTTCTTGTCGAGAACCCTCTTGGCAGCTTCTGCTGCTGACTGGGCAGGACCCAGTGCTGCCTCGTCCTTGCGCCTCCGCTTGCGGTCGAGCCCGCCCTGCACATGGTGTTGAACGATGAGACCAAGTCCAGGTGGTTTCGCACGAATGCGAACGGTTGTAACTTACATCAATATGACACATTGAGAATCTCACGGATGCAAACGACAGCAGATTATACCATGTATCTGACACTGAGATTTGCACAGATACAAACGGTTCCACATCAGCATGGAAACCACATTTGAGAATTCTCAAAAGTCGCACCAAACCAATACAGCACAGAAACCAGCATGGTTCCACATCAGCATGGTTCCACATCAGCATGGTTCCACATCAGCATGGAAACCACATCAGCATGGAAACCACATCAGCATGGAAACCACATCAGCATGGAAACCACATCAGCATGGAAACCACATCAGCATGGTTCCACATCAGCATGGAAACCACATCAGCATGGTTCCACATCAGCATGGAAACCACATCAGCATGGTTCCACATCAGCATGGAAACCACATCAGCATGGAAACCACATCAGCATGGAAACCACATCAGCATGGAAACCACATCAGCATGGTTCCACATCAGCATGGAAACCACATCAGCATGGAAACCACATCAGCATGGAAACCACATCAGCATGGAAACCACATCAGCATGGAAACCACATCAGCATGGAAACCACATCAGCATGGAAACCACATCAGCATGGAAACCACATCAGCATGGAAACCACATCAGCATGGAAACCACATCAGCATGGAAACCACATCAGCATGGAAACCACATCAGCATGGAAACCACATCAGCATGGAAACCACATCCGCATGGAAACCACATCAGCATGGAAACCACATCAGCATGGAAACCACATCAGCATGGAAACCACATCAGCATGGAAACCACATCAGCATGGAAACCACATCAGCATGGAAACCACATCAGCATGGAAACCACATCAGCATGGAAACCACATCAGCATGGAAACCACATCAGCATGGAAACCACATCAGCATGGAAACCACATCAGCATGGAAACCACATCAGCATGGAAACCACATCAGCATGGAAACCACATCAGCATGGAAACCACATCAGCATGGAAACCACATCAGCATGGAAACCACATCAGCATGGAAACCACATCAGCATGGAAACCACATCAGCATGGAAACCACATCAGCATGGAAACCACATCAGCATGGAAACCACATCAGCATGGTTCCACATCAGCATGGAAACCACATCAGCATGGAAACCACATCAGCATGGTTCCACATCAGCATGGAAACCACATCAGCATGGAAACCACATCAGCATGGAAACCACATCAGCATGGAAACCACATCAGCATGGTTCCACATCAGCATGGTTCCACATCAGCATGGAAACCACATCAGCATGGAAACCACATCAGCATGGAAACCACATCAGCATGGAAACCACATCAGCATGGAAACCACATCAGCATGGAAACCACATCAGCATGGAAACCACATCAGCATGGTTCCACATCAGCATGGAAACCACATCAGCATGGAAACCACATCAGCATGGTTCCACATCAGCATGGAAACCACATCAGCATGGAAACCACATCAGCATGGAAACCACATCAGCATGGAAACCACATCAGCATGGTTCCACATCAGCATGGTTCCACATCAGCATGGAAACCACATCAGCATGGAAACCACATCAGCATGGAAACCACATCAGCATGGAAACCACATCAGCATGGAAACCACATCAGCATGGAAACCACATCAGCATGGAAACCACATCAGCATGGAAACCACATCAAGACACACCTTTTGCAGCACTGCAGCAGCAGCTGCAGCCGCGGCAGCAGCACGAGCAGAGGTCCCGGCGCCACATTTACTTGCTGCTGCTGCCGCTGCCGCAGCCACCGCCGCCACCTGGTCCTCTGCCGCCCGCTGCGCCGCCTGCTTCTGCTCCAACTCCTCCAAATACTCCTTGTTCATCTCCGTCCAAATTAGGGTTTTTAGCTTCACCTCCTCTTCCCCCAACAGGTATCCATCCACCTGCATTGAGGAAAGAAACCAGAAAACCAAGGGAGGGGGGAGACGCAGCAAGAGAAATAGGTTGCTGGTTGAAGGCTGGAATAAAATACTGTTGCCCCCACTGCCACTGCACCAGCTGCGGCCGCCACCGCCGCCACCTGGTCCTCTGCTGCCCGCTGCGCTGCGCCGCCTGCTTCTGCTCCAACTCTTCTAAATACTCCTTGTTCATCTCGGTCCATATCAGGGTCTTTAGCTTTACTTCTTCCTCTCCTAGTAGGTACCCGTCGACCTGCATTGGGGGGAGGAACCAGAAACCCAAGGGGAAGGGGAAGACGCAGCAAGAGGAGTTAGGCTGTAGATTGAAGGATGGAATAAACGCCTGCTCCACTGCTGCTTCCGCTGCTGTTGGGTGGAGGGTGGGCTGTGGAGTGCATCTCTTCTCCATCTCCCCCAGAAGGCAATCGTGTGAAGCGGCAATGGGATAACTAACAGCGCTCAAGACAGGGAGGGAGGGTGTGGAGTGGAAGGGGGAGATTCCTAACCAAAACAACGTGATGCTTCTCAACGTGGAGGAGAATGCTTCTCCTCCACTGGATGATCCTCCTCACCACCGCTTGAGGCGCCTCAAAAATCGTCTCAGTTCACGCGGTTTTGAGGCGCCTCAAAAATCGTCTCAGTTCACGCGGTTTCGAGGCGCCTCAAAAATCGTCTCAGTTCACGCGGTTTTGAGGCGCCTAAAAAATCGTCTCAGTTCACACGGTTTTGAGGCGCCTCAAAAATCGTCTCAGTTCACACGGTTTTGAGGCGCCTCAAAAATCGTCTCAGTTCACGCGGTTTTGAGGCGCCTCAAAAATCGTCTCAGTTCACGCGGTTTTGAGGCGCCTCAAAAATCGTCTCAGTTCACGCGGTTTTGAGGCGCCTCAAAAATCGTCTCAGTTCACGCGGTTTTGAGGCGCCTCAAAAATCGTCTCAGTTCACGCGGTTTTGAGGCGCCTCAAAAATCGTCTCAGTTCACACGGTTTTGAGGCGCCTCAAAAATCGTCTCAGTTCACGCGGTTTTGAGGCGCCTCAAAAATCGTCTCAGTTCACGCGGTTTTGAGGCGCCTCAAAAATCGTCTCAGTTCACGCGGTTTTGAGGCGCCTCAAAAATCGTCTCAGTTCACACGGTTTTGAGGCGCCTCAAAAATCGTCTCAGTTCACACGGTTTTGAGGCGCCTCAAAAATCGTCTCAGTTCACGCGGTTTTGAGGCGCCTCAAAAATCGTCTCAGTTCACGCGGTTTTGAGGCGCCTCAAAAATCGTCTCAGTTCACGCGGTTTTGAGGCGCCTCAAAAATCGTCTCAGTTCACGCGGTTTTGAGGCGCCTCAAAAATCGTCTCAGTTCGCGCGGTTTTGAGGCGCCTCAAAAATCGTCTCAGTTCACACGGTTTTGAGGCGCCTCAAAAATCGTCTCAGTTCACGCGGTTTTGAGGCGCCTCAAAAATCGTCTCAGTTCACGCGGTTTTGAGGCGCCTCAAAAATCGTCTCAGTTCATGCGGTTTTGAGGCGCCTCAAAAATCGTCTCAGTTCACGCGGTTTTGAGGCGCCTCAAAAATCGTCTCAGTTCACGCGGTTTTGAGGCGCCTCAAAAATCGTCTCAGTTCACGCGGTTTTGAGGCGCCTCAAAAATCGTCTCAGTTCACGCGGTTTTGAGGCGCCTCAAAAATCGTCTCAGTTCACACGGTTTTGAGGCGCCTCAAAAATCGTCTCAGTTCACACGGTTTTGAGGCGCCTCAAAAATCGTCTCAGTTCACACGGTTTTGAGGCGCCTCAAAAATCGTCTCAGTTCACACGGTTTTGAGGCGCCTCAAAAATCGTCTCAGTTCACACGGTTTTGAGGCGCCTAAAAAATCGTCGCAGTTCACACGGTTTTGAGGCGCGTCAAAAAACGTCTCAGTTCACACGGTTTTGAGGCGCCAAAGAAATGCTTCTCCTCCACTGGATGATCCACCTCACCACCGCTTGCTTCGCTACTGCAACTGGCTTCTGGTGAAGTGACCAATGAAACGTTACCTCGTGATCCTCTATATCCGACAAAGTATCTTCCTCCTCTTCCTCTTCTTCCTCCTCTTCCTCCTCCTCATCTTCCACCCCCTCCTGCGCCTCCTCCCCAATCTCTCCAACGCTTCCCCCGAACCTCCCTCCGCCGCCCATCCCACCCTCTTCCCCAGCCAAGAAATCTGGATCGGGGTCATCCACCAGGCTCGGATCTATGCCTGCCGGACCTAGACCGTCACGCCTGACCGAGCCTAGGGTATCTGGTTCGGCAGGTCCCAGTGAGTCTGGAAGCGTGTGGACCACGAGGGGAGCAATTTCAGCTCGGTGCAGAGCTGCATCTAGATCCTGTCGGTCAAGTGGGATGGAGAGGGTTGTGGAGGGGTGGAGAGGGATGAAAAGGAATGGAGCGTGGTACGATGAGATTAGCTCTCCACTTGACTTCAGGAACATTCATTGAACACATAAAAATATCGTGCGTAGATCCTTCCTGAAACAAGTAGCTACATGCAGGAAACTCTGGAGTGATGAATTTTGAGACGTCTCAAAACGCTACTTTTATCACTTGGCGATCCTGAAACAAGTAGCTACGTTCAGGGAACTCTGGAGAGATGAAATGCGCTCACCTTCTCAATCCTCTGCCTTGCTCTCTCGCGCTTCGACACCCCATCCCTCCCCACTTTCCCTCCCTTCCCTCCCGCTTTCGCAGCAACCACCCCTTTCCCTGCCGCCACCGCCACACCCGCACCTCCACCCTTCCCCTTCTGGCCAACAGCCATAACTTCCCTTCCAACTCCCCACTCCTCCCCTTCTCCATATCCATCCCCCTCCTCCCGCTCCTCCTGCCCAAACACGCTGTACACAGTGAGGCGGCTTCTCCGCCTCCTCAGCTCTGCTTTGCGCTGCTCCCTCTCCCCCCGCCCCCATGCAGGCGGGTTGGCTCCCCCTACCAAACCTCCGCTCGTCCGCGCCAGCTGGGGGAAAGGGGAAAGGGAGGATGGGAGGATGGGATGTGATGTGATGGCATGATGCGTGGTGGATACATATCAGAGAACAGCTCACACGCAGCATATTCGTGCCACAGCACATATTTTGAGGCGCCTCAAATCACACCTCACGGCATGATGCGTGGTAGGGGTACATATCGGAGCACAGCTCACACGCAACACAGTCATGCCACAGCAAGTGAGGGTGTTTTTGAGACGTCTCAAAAACACCCTCACTTCACACAGCCCACACGCAACACAGTCATGCCGCAGCAAGGTGGCTTTTGAGTCGACTCAAAAGTTACCGCGTGGTGGGTACATATCAGAGAACAGCTCACACGCAGCATATTCATGCCACAGCACATATTTTGAGGCGCCTCAAATCACACCTCACGGCATGATGCGTGGTAGGGGTGCATATCAGAGCACAGCTCACACGCAGCACATTCATGCCACAGCACGAACCATGTCATAGCACGGCCTGCAGAGCCCATGGGAGGAATGAGCCGCCCCAGCCTCGTCATGCTGGCACTGTATCATCAGTAGCAGTACACCATACCAAACCATACCGTACCATACCATACCATACCATACCATACCATACCATACCATACCATACCATACCGTACTGGTACCACACTACACCGCTCCGTACCATGTCATAGCACGGCCTGCAGAGCCCATGTGCAAAATGAGCCGCCCCAGCATCCTTATGCTGGCACTGAGTCAAATACACCTCCCCCACTTCCCCCCCACCCCCGCCCCCACCCCCATTCGCCACCACTCCCCCCTCCTCTTCCCCCTGCTCCACCTCCCCCGCTCCCCCCTCCCCCGCCTCCCCCTCCCCATCTTCCCCACCACCCGGATCCCCATAACCCCCTGCGCCTCCCCTCGCCCCTCCCCCTGCTGCTCCCCCTGCTTTCCCCTTCCCCTGTTTGCCCTTGGTAGCGAGGGCAGCAGCAGCAGGGGCGAGGGAAGAGGCAGGAGCAACGAGAGCAGGGGTGGGTGGCTGGGTGGAGAAAAGAAGCTCGTCCCACTCCTTGGCCTTCTCTTCGAATTCCTCCGGCTGAAAGGAGTTTGGAGGGGGTCGGGGGGGAGAAAGGGGAGGATTGAGGAAGCAAATGGCATGGCGCATGCGTGTGGGTGAGTGGGCGGCTGGGTGGAAAAGAGCAGCTCGTCCCACTCCTTGGCCTTCTCCTCGAATTCCTCAGGCTAGGGAAAGGGAGGTGACGGAAGGAAGTTGGAGGGGTCAGAAGGGGTGGGGAGAGAGGAGGGAGCATATCACATGGAGCGTGTTGGTAGGCGGCTGGGTGGAAAAGAGAAGCTTGTCCCACTTCGATCAACCGGCTGGGTACAAGAGTTGGGGTTCAAGGGGTTTGATGTTTTTGAGAATTCTCAAAAACACCCTGCAGCATCATGTCTGAATCTCGCGTGGGTACAAGAGTTGGAATTCAGGGGGTTTGGTAGAGGATGGAGTGAGGAGGGAGAAATTGGCATGGTGCGTGGAAAAGGGTGACTGAGACCAAAAACAAAAGGATGGGGGGGAAGCAGGGAGGTTGGAGAATAGGGAGTGATCAATAAGCAGCCTTCAAAGAAACATGGGGCGTAAGAGAGCGTAAGAGGAGGAACTTACAGTGAGCCCGCCTGCCTCGGTGCCCGCAAACTCTTGCGAACAAAAAATGGGAGAGGAGAGGGGGCAGTGCGTCACCGACTTACAGTGAGCCCGCCTGCCTCTGTGCCCTCAAACTCATGCAGTCGGTGCCGCACTGTCTGCTCACACACATGCACCACTGCCACCTGCACGCAGCGTGAGGGAGGGAGGGAGACACAAGAGAGAACGAGGGAGAGTAGGGGAGAGTGCAGTGCAGTGCAGTGCAAGTCAGGTGGTGACGCACAGTCTGTTCACACACATGCGCCACTGCCACCTACCCCACCATGTAAAGTCACAACTTACATACGCACACCCCACTGCAAGTTGTAAAGCCACAACAGGTAGAATCACACACACACACACACGCGCGCGCGCACACACACACACACACACACACACACACAAACACGCTCATACACACGCTCACACACACACACACACTCACACACACAGACACACACACTCACACACACACACACACACACACAAATGCAGCAAACACACACGCTCACACACACGCTCACACACACACACACACTCACACACACAGACACACACACACTCACACACACACACACACACCTATACACACACACACACACACACTCACACTCACACTCACACACTTTTAGAGCTAGCCAGCACATAAGTACCTGTACCTTGCACCCAGAGTGCAAAACAACCTTGCTTTCTTCAATCCACCCATAATTGCCCCATCAAAACTTCGACTCGGCCGCATTACTCACTCCCAACCAGCCACACATCTATCCAACCACTCCCCCACCCCAACCACCTCTCCGACTTGGATCGCTCAAAGCCGTGTATGTGTGCCGCTATCAGAAGGCAACGCAACTACAACACCCCTCAACCGCCCAGCAATCACCACCCATCCACCCACACATCTCTCCACACACCCACCCATCCGCACACCATCCGTCCCCAAACCCACCACATCCGACTTGGATCGCTCAAAGCCGTGAATGTGTGCAGCTATCAGCAGCGCCGCCCCACACACCCCATTGGGCTTGCGACCGGTCTGAAGGGGATCATGGGAGGTGGGGAGAGAGACGGAAGGGATGTAGACGTGTGTGTAGTGGAAAGAAAGAGGGGGTGACCGTGAACTGTGTTCCCCCGCCCCACACACCCCGCTGGGCTTGCAACTCGTCTAGAAGGGAGGTCGGGAGGGAAGGCCGTAGAGTAGAGATGCGGGAAAATGGGTGGGCGAATGGTGTGTTGTGAAGCAGAGTTCTCAAGGTATTGCATCGATTTTAGCAGACACTCATCATGTTCTAGTTGGTTAGCTCTTCTAATGTCATAGCGGAGGTCCAGGGTTCAATCCTCAATAGGAATGCTGGGGTGATGGAGAGAGAAGAGGGATGATATCCAGAAATTGTAGAATTGAGCTCCACGACTCGCTTGTACCTAATTCGTTATTTAGAAAAGTATGATGGCATGGAAAAAAAAAAAAAACCTCACGTTCCCTACATTCACCCCCTTCTCCCCCCTCCCCTCACCTGGATCCAGTCGCGCTTCATGGAGGCAACGAGGCGCAGAGCCGTGCTGGCCACTGCATGCCTCTTGAGCTTCCACAGAACAGTACCATGCACCCCTTTCCCTTTCCGCCCTACCCCTTCCCTCCCCTCCCCTCCCCTCCCAACCCCTTCACCCCCCCCTCACCTGGATCCAATCGCGCTTCATGGAGGCAACAAGGCGCAGAGCCGTGTTGGCCACTGCATGCATCTTGCGCCCAAAGTTGAGGCCTGGTATTGTGCAAAAGAATGCCCATACCCGGTGCGCATCCCATGCACATGCAATACCCATGCTCATACCCATGCCCATGCAATACCCATGCCCATGCCATGCCACACCGCACAATACAACAAACTGAAAATGTTGATTGTAGAACAGGAAGAGGATCACTTGGATCAGACCATTGCGGACCATACAAATGCACACTCCCATACTGGGAGTTGGTGACATCTGGTAGAGTGCAAATTAGACCTCAGCGGGAATCGAACCCCAGACTGCTGGGGCACCACATTAGAAACAAAACTGACTGCATCAATAAACTTACATAAGATCATTGGGGCAGTACAATACCACTGGAAAGCATAAGAAACACGACATTCCAATATCTCTGCATACAGTGTCATGAGGTTGGCGGTGCTAATGTGGAGTGCAAATACCAGATGCTTGTGTGAGGGTGCTGACTGGTACCAGTCATCGGATGAGGGTGCGTGATTAGTGGTACAGGAATTGCCGCTACGCTACAACAGACCACACTTACGGTCAGTGAACCGGTGGATGAAGAGGGAAGGGTCCAGTGGTGCCTGTCCGCAGGGGTTTCCTGCTTTTGAGTCAACTCAGACGCACACTTAAGGTCGGCGGATTGGTGGATGAAGAGGGATTGAATCAGTGGTGCGGGTAGCGGGATGACTCTTGGTGCGACTCAGGAGCACACTTACGGTCGGCGAATTGGTGGATGAAGAGGGAAGGTTCCAAAGGTGCTTGTAACGGCTCGTGGTTCTCCAGTCGCAGCACCAACAGTGCCCCACCCCAGTACATAGATGGAGAAGTGAAACCAGCGAAAGAGGAGAGAAACGCTTACGGTCGGCGAATCGGTGGATGAAGAGAGAGGGGTCCAGTGGTGCCTGTAGCGGCTCGTGGTTCTCCAGTCGCAGCACCAGCAGCAGCTGCAGATACACCGCCCCTAGTACATACCTGAGAGAGTGAAATGAGAGAGAGGGGAGGGAAAACATTAGGGGTCGTTCAGGGGGTGACGTGAAGAGGCTTGAGACGCACTGGTCTAAAAACTAGGATATGAGAAGGTGGTGAGAGGGTGGTGAGAGGGTGATGAGAGGGTGGAGAGAGAGGCACACTTACACGTTGATCTGCAGCAAGTCAGCAAAGTCGATCAGCAGAAAGGGCTTCTTCTCCTGCCTGCCAGCGAGTATAAGTGGATAAGTGGCATAGCACAGAACAAGACAATTATTTAGTAGACTAGAAATGTGTGGATCGACTCGAGAATTGTAGTCGATGAAAATGTGGCAAGAGATTTGGGCTTTGACGTTAACTTGTTGCATGACATGATACAACGGAACTGAGGCATCTCAAAAGGTGATTCTTGAGGAGCGTCAATAGATCACTGCAGGCGCCTAAAACAGGGTAACAATTAGGAATCTCAAAGTGATCGCCATCGAGGAGAATAAACCCAGACTCGAATCAACTCAAGAAAAAACTGCAGCAGCATCAGATGCAAGCCCACCGGCTGGCAAGGTAGAGGCATGCAGCTGCCACCTGCACCAGTCAAACCAAGAAATATATATTTCACCTTGTTCAGGCACCTGTTCAGGCACGCGAGCTCACCTGCACGCAAGGTAGAGGCACGCCGCTGCCACCTGCGCTACTCGCCTTCCTCTTGTGAAGTTGCGATTCAGAGCCAGCTGGGGGCAGTCAAAGGGGGGTTAAGGATTAGGAAAAGCGGAGCAGAAGTAGACGGGGAATGGGGAGGACGTCTAAGTGTATGCATGTGGACATGTGCATTGGAGCGCGCGTGCATATATATGTGTGTGTGGCATGTGTGGTGGTGTGGTGCACTGGACATGCATGCTCCCATGCCTGCTGATTTTCTGCACAAGCTGTTTCAGGGCTCAATGTTTCAGAGGGTTTATGAGGGCTAATGAGGGTTTACGAGAGCTTACGAGGCTAATGAGAGTTTACGAGAGCTTATGAGGCTAATGAGGTTTTACGAGAGCTTATGAGGCTAATGAGGGTTTATGAGGGCTTACGAGGGTTTACAATAATTTCGGGTTCAGTACCTGGTACAGCCGGTGCGCCGACCCTATCATGTCTTCTCGAGGTCGCACGGCCAGCCGCTCTGCTATCTCTGCAATCTCATTGCGCCCTGCAAGGGGGGTTAGAGAGAACGTGATTGGTTGGGGAGTCAGGGGATTGGGTTGGCGGGGTAAGCTCTGTTCTGCTCAAGCAAGTGGCAGCAGCAAGGGGTAGAGAGGAATGGGATAGCAGTGGAGGAGGTGAGTGAAGGGGTGAAGGAAGAGGAGTGGGAGGTTGAAACAACATCCGTTTGCATCACACCCACCTCTCATGACTGTGCGCTCATGTGACTCTGACGAGCCCCCAAAGGCGAACCCCCTGGCTCCTCCCAGTCGCACCACCGGCCCGCCTCCTCCTGCATCTGCCACGAAGCTTCCCATGGCCATGCTCTGAAACAGAGGGAAATAGAAGGGGCGAAAAACACAGGGCAATAGATGAATAAGTGAGGAAGATTGCTTTAAAAGCAGATTGGTGGGTTGGGGAATGAAAGACCAGGGAGAAGGCGCGAGACACTGAATCATTCCGTCTCATAATCATGACCTGTACTCGTTATTGCGTTTCTCGCTCAGCTTACAGAGCCATCGGATTGTTTCATGAAGACTGTGTCGGACGAGTAGACGGTATCGTCCAGCACTCGCCCACACCCCGTGCAGCAGCTGTGGTAGTGGGGAGAAAGACAGGCAGCAAGTCCGACAGAAGGGCGGGCACACAAGCAGGCGGAGAAGGGAGCACATGAGCCGTGGGTTGGTTAAGGTGGGAGCGCGTGGACGCGAATTGTGAACCAACAAACTAAAAATTCGCAGGAAGAAGGATCAGATTGTTTGAACCTTGAAGCGCCTCAATAGATGCGCAGGAAGGAAGGAACGTACGAGAAGCCATTGGCCTCGTCGACCTCCGCCTGCTGGTCGCGCTTTAAGTCGACTCAACATTCAACAGAGACTGGCAGAAAGGCGAGGAGAGATACACGCAAATGGGCAGAGTGGAGAGCGCAAGAATGAAGGAACGTACGAGAAGCCATTGGCCTCGTCGACCTCCGCCTGCTGGTCGCGCCCGCAGTAGCTGCACCACACCATCGCGACCTCGTGCTCGCCACGTCACCCTCGCCACGTGTTCTTTTACGGCGTCACACTCTCGTAACACTCTCGTCACACTCTAGTCACACTCTCGCGATCTAGCTCTCGCGGCCGGGAAATGCAGTGCGGGTACAGCGAACCGAGTCGACCCAGAAGTCACCCAGGCAACCTCGCGCCAGGCGGATGCAGTCTGAAGGGTTTTTCTACGAAACAGCTGCGGCTGCTGTAGCTTCGATCCCTTTTCGAAGCGACTGAAACTAAGGTTGCGATCGATGCGGCAGCTGCGGTTAAGAGCCTCGCGACGTTTTCTATAAAGCACTGCGACGGCTTAGCAGCCTCGCGATGGTTGAGCAGTCGCGCGACGATGGAACTGCGATAACGATCGCGTGGGGAAAGAAGCGAACTAACGACAGCTCTCTTAGCGTTTAACGAACTCCGTCAGGAGACCGAAAACTGGGACGGCGTGCGTAACGGCGATCGGATATCCGCAATTAAGCTTTCATTAGCTGCCAGCCTTCAAGTGTGCTTGCACGTGCTATCGCGACGCGCGTGGTCGGCCTTACCACCAACGTACTAATGATTAGCTTGAGTGGTGTGGTGTTGCTTCAAAACTACGGCAGCCTCAAGGTTTTGGAAGGGTAGTAGTTGCCTCGTTAACGCGTACGGTTGCTTCAAACTGTTGAGACTGGCTTACTGCAGCGAGATAAAAGTACTTTGTGAAATCTACTTTCTCTACAATTCACCACACTTGTCTTTGAGATGTGTTGAACAAGCACCACCACATTAAAAAAATAATCGAATTTCAAGTCACCGAAACGCAGCAGCAGGCAAAACAGATTTTCATTCGCATCTAGGACAACCAGATGACCCCGATTCATTACCGGTACTTATTGTTTCTTATCGTGTGACCATTGTCAGGTGATCAATCCTCTGGGACCATCTGTCCACAAGAACAAAAAAGTGATAAGCGCAATGTGTTAAGAGGAGCATGCTTTCGAAAAGTTGCACATAGGAAGGAGGGTACGGTAACAAGGAATGGAGGAGGTGGAACGGGAGAGGGAGAGAGAGGGAGAGAGGGAGCGAGGGCAGAGAGGGGGAGCACAGGGGAAGGGGGGGGGAGGGGGTGTTGGGAGTTTGGGTGGGGGAGCACAGGGGAAGGGGAGGGGAGGGGGGGGTGTGGGGGAAAGGAGGGTATGAGGGAGAAGTGACGCAGCAGTGGATGAAAATACGAACTGATGGGGTTAGGAAGGGTGCAGCAATTCAACAGCACCTGGTCAAGCCCAAACGCCTCAACTCCCCATCCCTGCCGTGATTTCTTTTGAGAACTCTCAGAACTTATCCCAACCTGACAACACACCTGGTCAATGAAATCGTCCTCTTCAAGCCCAAACGCCTCAGCTCTCCCTCCCCGCCGCAAGTGCCGCCGACGCTGCCGCCTCTGCTGCTCCTCCTGTTCCTCCTGCTCCTGTTGCTGCCGCCACTGGGTTTGCCATTCCCTTTGCCTCTCCCTCTCCACCTCCCTTGCCCATTCCCTCTCCTGCTCACGCTCTCGTTCTGTCTCCCTCTCCCTCTCTCTCTCCCTTCTCTCCCTCTCCCTTTCCCTCTCCATCTCCCTCTCCATGTCCCCCACAGTATCACCACCAGACTGCCGCAACTCTCCCCTCTCTCCCCTCTCCCTCCACTCCCTCTCCTCCACCTCCTCCTCTTCATCTATCACCTCCCCCTCAACCCCTGCCCCTCCGTCCCTCATCCCTCCTCTCTCTCCCCTTTCTTGTACTTCCACACTTGCCCTCCCTCCTTCACTCCCTGACTCCCAGTTTCTTTCCCTCTTCATCTTATTGTGTGCGTTGCCCTCTTCCCTCTCTCCCCCCGCTCCCTTTTGCTGCCTCTTCCCCGCCTCATACTCTCGCTCCATTGCCAGCTCAACCTCTATCAACTCCTCCTTGAGGGTCTTGCGCCTCTTGGTGGTGAGCCAGCCTGAAAGAATGACATCCAGAAAGGCACAAAGACATGGCATGGAGGGAAGCATGGAGTCAAGTAAGCAACATCCTTCCCCGCCTCATACTCTCTCGCTCCATTGCCAGTTCTAGCTCCATCAGCTCCTCCTTGCAGCTCTTGCGCCTCTTCGTGGTGAGCCAGCCTGAGAGGGGGAGAAAGAACAGCACGTAGCAGCAAATAACACAGACTGGAGGCATGGAGGCACGGAGGCGCCCTCCCCACCTCATACTCTCGCTCCATCGGCTGCTTGAGCTTAAGCAACTCCTCCTTGAGAGTCTTGTGCCTCTTGGGCGTGAGCCAGCCTGGGGGAGAACGACCAAGCAGCAATCTCACTATTGCCAAGAATTTGCAAGCTCACTATTGCCAAGAATTTGCAAGCTCACTTTGCAGCCTTTGAGAATTCTCAAAAACTCCCTGCAATGACCGAGCAGCAAGCTTACTATTGCCAAGACTGATTTTACAGATACATTGGCCCTGAGTCCGTGTCTGCTTCAAGTGAAACCACAGGAGAATAGACCGAGACTGGCATGTGCTTATAACGAAAATGGCAAGCTATCTCACCTGGATGGTTGGGCAGAGGCACTTGGTCTGCAGTCACATCCTCCTCAGCATCACCGCGGGCCCCTCTTGTATCACAAGCCTTCAAGTCTCCCTCGTTTCTCCCACACTCGGTTGTATCACCTCTGGTTTCATCACTATTACCATGCCCACCCCTTACATGTGCAGCTGCACCCATGGCCATGGGGGAACCACGACCACGTGGGTGTGTACCCATGGGGGTACCACGTGGGTGTGTACCCATGGGAATATCACGTGGGCGTGCAGCAGTCATGGGGACATCATACCGCTGTGCACCAATAGCAGCCGACACACAAGAGGAAGTAGAGCCACAATGGGCTGATGGGTTACCCTCGAGCCTCGGCTCCTCACTCTCATTGTGCTGCCTCTCCTGGCCGAGCCTGCCCCTGCCAAGCCTTTCCATGCCAAGCCTGTCCGTGCCGAGCCTGTCCATCCCGAGCCTGTCATCACCAAGCCTGCCACCTTCTTTACTGTCACGAGGATGTAACGGGCTGAGGGATATACGGTGATCAGGGGGAGCGTGCGAAAGGGGTTCTTTCAAAGGCTGGTTGGATGGAGGGTTGGATGAAGGGTTGAATGGACGGTTGGATGGAGGGTTGGATGGATGGTTAGATGAATGGATGGACGGATGGTTAAATGGACGGTTCGTGGAGTTGGAGGGATTTCTGAAAATGGGTTGAGTGGAATTAGGGTTTGTGAACTTAAGAGCCTCAAAAGGCTGACTGGAACTAGGCTTTGCATGGATTGCTGTGGTTGTGGAAAGACAAGAAGGGGTGGATGGAGGAGTGAGAGGGTGAGGGAGAGTGTGGGAACGAGCGTGCAAGGGAGATGGGGCAGCGTGTGTGGGAGGGGGAACGTGAGTCTGGCCCAGGCCCATGGCCACGACGTGACTACTTGGACTGCGTTGACCATGTTGACCTTCCAATGCTGGACTGTGTTGACCGCGTTGACTCTCCAACACTGGACTGCGTTGATTGCATTGACTCCTCAAATCTGGATTGCGTCGACCGTGTTGACCGTGTTGACCACCTAGAACCGGCAGTCCAGATTCGCAACCCAAGGAACCAATCGGAGCAGCCAATCCCTCCGCCATCACTGCAGCCATAAGCCATCGCTCGGTTCCACCTGACTGCACCGCACTCAATCCCTCTCCACCTTCTTGCACTTGCTCTATTGCACCTGACTGAACCGCATTCAATCCCTCCGCCATCAGCGCTGCCATGAGCCATTTCTCGTTCAGCCCAGCTGACGCAGCACGAGCCGCTCCGTCTTCTACGCCTTCCACTCCCCGGCGCACCAGTCCACCCGACTGCTCCGCATTCAACCTAACCGGTGGAAGAGAAGCAGTAACAGACGCGTATAGTTGACCCTCCCTCTCGCGCTCGCGCTCGCTCCAGTTCGGTAAGGTTCCTGTTTCATTCGTCGCAAACGCGAACCTGGAACTGTCTGCTGCAGTCGCATGATAGGTTGGTCGCTCGGTCGCATGATAGGTTGGTCGCTCGGTCGCACCAGAGGCTGGTCGCTCGGTCGCATGAGAGGCTGGTCGCTCGGTCGCATGAGAGGCTGGTCGCTCTGCGCCACGCGTGCGATTACGGCTCGATCTCGCAAGCTGGGTCGAGTGGTAACTGTCGTCACGATTTCGGCTCCACTTCTGGTCCTCGCACGCCATTGGAAAAAGCGTTTTTGAGACGTCTAAAAAACTTACTCATACATCGTGAATTCGGCTACACTCCGAGCAGACGCCATTAGGAGGAAGCGAGTGGAGGATGAGTTAGCCAATCAGAGGCTGTTAAGATAGATTTTAGGCCACACAATTTGAAAATGGTAAATTTTGTAAACGGTACGCTGAAGTAAGTTTTAGTGTGTTTCAGACCGGTACTCATCCGAGCGGTACCCATCCGAACCGTACCGTTCGTTTTGAAAAACTCGAGGTGTTCCACGCCCTTATCCCAGGGCTCTCGCCAAACCATTGTGTTCGGTACCTTTTGCGAATCGCAGCGGCTGCGACCACCCTTCGAGCTGTACAGCTACGTGTGTTACACGAGTTCACGAAGATCGTCAAAGTCGCCAGCAGCGCTGCGGTCCCTCCCGACTGCTTTCCACTCGCCTCCTCCTCCTTTGCCAATTGTTGAAGTCAGTCCGTACCAGTTTTATTTCCCGTGACCTAGCGTTGCCTTCTACGCTCGCGTGCCTTCTACGCTCGAGCTTCCAGTTCACACCTGCCATGGAAGTGACAACCTTCACGCGTGCTTCGCGGCTGAATCCGAAACACATCCCTCTGGCTATGGCGGCACGAGCAGATAGTGAGCTGCTGTCAGATTTAGGCTTGAAAACGGAGATCCATAAATCAGATGTTAAAGATTTCGTTTTCCATCAGCTCTTCAACAACTGCTTTTTCCATCATTGTAAATTCAACCGGCTTTCCATTTAACGGCTTTTTCCTTAGCACTATTAACGGGCCTGCTCTCATCCGTACGGCATTTACTGCGACGATCCCAAGGCATCTCGACGATGGCGAGTAACTCGTGGCCGCGCGCAGCGCGCAAGCTGCTCCTGCCTCTCTCCCTCCTCGTGCTCCTCGCCGTCACCAGCGCCAGCGCAGCACGGCCCATGGTGCAGACGTCATCCTCCACCGCAGCAACCGCCGTCACCGCCGGATCTGCCTTGGGAACTCCGCGCAGGGTGGAGCAGGAGGTGATGAGCTGGGAGGGGGTGACGGTGGATACAGTGGCTTCAGGGAACCTGGGCGTGGTCGAAGGCTGGGAGGACTCTGAGGTTGCGAAAATTCTGGTGATTATTTTCGTGAACGAGGGTTACAATGTGATGGTGATCAAGTCCGAGCACTCCGTGTACGACGGTGAACCATTTTCCGCCACGGTCCAGGTGGCACACTCCTGGGGTGACTCGTATTTTCGGGTGTATTTCCTGAAGGGTCCGTTCAGAGTGGTGAATTGGGGGGAAAGCACGCCCGAGACTTGGGATTATGGAGGAAACTACTGGTTTGGGTCAGGACAATTAGCTGTGTATTTCACTTGAGTGTTGTTGTGCATACCGGCAGCATTGGTAGCCTCATTTTATATTGAGTACAACTAGCCTGTGGGTAGCAAGCATTGGGATAGTTGGAGAACACTACTGTAGTCATATTTCAAATGTAAGAGCACACACTAGGATTGAAACAAGTCAAAGTTAGTCCCAGCTTGAGTGCATATTGGTGCATATTTGTGAAACCCATGCACTCATACTGGCTGGCTCCCACCAGGAACCCCTGGATGCTACACCACATCCCTATAGAGCTGGTGCTAAGGTACGGTACCGGTATATGCACTTGGCTTCTTATGGCACTTCACATACGGTACGTGCTGTGCTGCTATGCTATCAGGTACCGTATGAAACCACAAATGTTCACTTTCAAGGGGGTAGAGGTGTACAACAAACCATTCTACTATGTCACTAGCAAGCAGCCATTTCTATTAGCGAGTGGCCTCCCTCAAGGCACTGCTTTCTCTTTCAGTGGTACTGTACTGTATTATAGCGAAACATGTTGTGACACAAAGCTCTACCTAAAAGTTCAAACATGTCTCATTGAAGAGAACAGTAAGCCTGCACTTAGGTACCCCACCACTGCTTCTTGCTCAACCGAACTTTGCCCCTTTGGCAGCAGCAGCGCGGCCAGCTTTATCAGCAGCGCGCCTCTCCCTGAGCCACATCTCTCTCACATTCCCTAAAGCCATACCCACGAGTCTGACTCAACAGCCTACGCTTCCCCTGCTGCTCCTGCTTGCTCAGTTGAACCTAGGCCCTTGGCAGCAGCAGCACGAGCGGCTTTATCAGCAGCGCGCCTCTCCCTGGGTCGCATCTCCCTCACATTTCTTAGCGGCATTGTCTCTTCCCTCACAGGCATGTCCCCGAATGGGTGGCTGTCCCCCTCAAATATTCTCAGCTTCGTCATGCGCGGCTGGGGGGAAGGGGGGGCATGCAGAAGGAAGAGTGATGGTTGGGGGTAGAGTACGGTTCTGGGAGGTGGGAGCAGGTGAGGGAGCTGGGCAGGCTTCGCCTCCTCCCTCGCAGGAATGTCCTCGAATGGGTGACTGCCCCCCTCGAATATCCTCAGCTTCGTCATTCGTGGCTGGGGGGACAGGACGGGGGGAGAAAGAGAGAATGTGAAGGCCCTGCCTCCTCCATTACAAGTGTGTTCTCGAACGGGTGAGGCAACTTACTGTGACCCTGAAAATAAGGAAACTCCCATCAACCTGTCAACCTGCCACCCAAAAAATTCCCATATGCAGCAACTCACATCCATGAGTCAATTGCAGGGAAGCGAGTGCAAAATCTGTTTTTTGAGTTGGAAAAAAAAAAGGCCACTCACATCCACGAGTCGGTTGCGGGGCAGCATGCGCAGCACTGCTTTGCGAATGACCTCCTTGGGATCCTTTGCCATCTGATCCTTGAGGGTTCGCTCCTTTAGACCTCCGATGTACCTGGGGACGGACGTGCATACACACAGGCAAGGGGGGTGGATACATCATGCATGTGTCATGCAGAGCATTGCCATTTGGTCCTTGAGCGTTCGCTCCTTCAGCCCTCCAATGTACGCGTATGCGTTTGTGTATGGAAGGGAGAATGATGGAGACGTGCACATGCGTGTAACCAACCATCCTTTGCCATTTGATGTACCTGTGATCCTGCATGAATGCATGCATGCATGCATGCAGGGGCATGCAAAGATGCATACGTGCTCACGAGATGCGTCAGTCGGTGCATGAGTGGGTGGATGTGACGTACATAGAAATGGCACTCAGGGTCCTTGAGAAATGGCATTTGGTCGTTGAGAGTTGCGCGCTCTGAGTCCGAACCTGACCGATGAACTTGCATGGATCCATCCAAACGCCAATACCTTATGTGCTCCATCCGTCTCACCCTGTGTGCCGCCCAACTCACCCTGTGTGCCGCCCAACTCACCCTGTGTGCCGCCCAACTCACCTTGTACGCTGCCCTGTGTGCCGCCCACTCACCCTGTGTGCCATCTGTATGTCTTCTGCCGTATCTTGTCACCCGTCACTGCAATCTTATCTGTACAGAATCAGGTACACATGCACACAGGAATTTATAGGCGCACAAGACATGGATACATGCATCACACACACATGAATACATGCATGGACCCATACATAATTACATACATTCACACATGGATTCATGCATGGACGACCATCACATGCAACCCAACAACCAGACATAACGTATGAGTCAACTCAAAAGTAGACAAACTCGTGACAGTGCGTACACATCTCACTTGTGACAGTTGGCCATGGCAAAGCTGCATGTATATGTTTGCGTAAGGGAGTAATAACCTCTAAGCATAGGCTACAAAAGGGTTACTAACCTGCATTGACCACAATGCAGACGTCGCCCTTGTCAATGCTGGGCGAGTAGATGGGCTTGTCCTTCCCCTGCATAAGGGGTAACTAGCCCCTTGATATTATTAACTGAGGGTTACCAACCTGCGTTCACTACAATGCACACGTCGCCCTTGTCAATGCTGGGCGAATAGAGGGGCTTGTCCTTCCCCTGCATAAGGGGTAACTAGCCCCTTGATATTATTAACTGAGGGTTACCAACCTGCGTTCACTACAATGCACACGTCGCCCTTGTCAATGCTGGGCGAATAGAGGGGCTTGTCCTTCCCCTGCATAAGGGGTAACTAGCCCCTTGATATTATTAACTGAGGGTTACCAACCTGCGTTCACTACAATGCACACGTCGCCCTTGTCAATGCTGGGCGAGTAGATGGGCTTGTCCTTCCCCTGCAGCACCACTGACAGCCGTGAGGCCAGGCGACCAAGCACCTGCATGGCAGGGAGGCAGGGAGGAGCAGGGAGGAGGAGAGGTAGACATCCGAGAGGTGGGAAGGCAGGGAGTGAATGGGAATAGGTGGAGTATGGACGCATGCACGCAGCAAGGAGCATAGATGGGCTTGTCCTTTCCTAAAAGCACCACTGCAAGGCTGGCGGCAAGGCAACCAAGCTTCATACAGGGATGACTTGGCCCTATGCGCATATCATTAGCGTACCCAAGCCGTGACAGCATACCTGGTCCTTAGCGTCGAATACTCGCCACCCAGATACCTTTTCTGGCTTCAGACCGGCGAACGCGCGCTGGGGATGGGGAAATGGCGGGAGCGGGTGGTTGGAAGTGAGTGGAGTGGTGAGGGGGGAACGGGGAGGGGGGGGGGGGGGGGGAGGGGGAGGGGAGGGGGTTCCGGGGGTTTGGGAATTGAGGAGAGGGTGGATGGGGAGGGGGGTAACGGGGATAAAGAATAAAACTAAGAGATTGTTCAAGATAACCCTCCTCACGGACTACGGGGGTGATGAATCCACGTGGTGGGGGGTGCTAAAGTGGGATGATAATCGTGCATGGCGATGAGAAAGGATTGATTTACTCATAATACGGCATGAAAGGTTCTGGAACGCTGACAGCAGTGCCCTATCAAGATCGGTCAAAGCGCGAATGTCTCAGAAGCAGGATTCGGAAACCGAGTGGTAATTTGAGGAAAAAACCCCGAAAGGGAAGAATTGCCAGGATTAGGGTTTCATAAAGTCCGCAAAAAGTGGCGAACCATTGTTATGTGAAGAGCCACGCGAGGCTATGAAGTATCGTTCTGGAGACGACGGGAGACAACGAACGGGAGTGGCTATGAAAGGAAAGCCGCCTTACCCGTGCAGCGGCCATGATCCGGCCTCAGTCGCAGCGCGTTGAAGTTTTGGCGCCAAGCGCTGACACAACTTCAAATCACGGGATGTACGCGTTTTAACCTCCTCGTGCGAGTAAGAAGAAGAGGGAAAGGATGCAGATGCTGGAACTCCACTGATGCTGGAAGTCGGGCGTAATCGACATTACTCTCTGAGCACAATTGCAGTTCCAGTTCGTTATAAACGCGACACACAGACCATCTCGACATTCTTCGGATCATTTTGGTATCAACTCCAACCAGTCAGTGTCGTATTTTTGGCTGCCAAATTTGTGCCAGTTTTCCAGATTGGTGCCAGTTTGAGCTGTACCCGAATTGACATCACGCTTTGAGGAAACGGGCTCAGAACTGGTTTAGCCTCGGTAACTCCGGCCCAGACTCCCAGCACTTCACCGCCATTTCCTGTCTTGGCTGGGTATGAACCTCTGTCAGTGTTAGCCTCTCACTTGCGACTGGATCCTAGCATTTTACGCTGCTTGATCCAGATACCGAGTCGCTAACATAGAAAACGAGCGTCGATTTTTAGGGGGCTGGAGTGGTATAGTAGTTGGTTTTCTTCTATCACACCTCGTTCCCGAGTCGCCTTTCCTTCGCCGATTCGTTATCAGTTTCTCGCGGTCTATTTTTTAGTCCTTACGTCTAACCGCCGCGTTTCCGTCAGTTTGGCTGTTGACCAATCGACCTAGCTCCCGCGTAACCCGAGTCGCGCTCATGGTGAACAAGGTGCGATTGGACGTCAGTGGGATTGGCTAGGCCAGCAAACCGTCGATTAGTGTTATCTGGTCATTTGATCGCCGTGCGACTCGTTCTGAGTCGTCTCAGAACTCGCAGTAGCTGTCGTGCGACATCTGGTCTCAAAACTAGTAACTACTACCTGTGAATCGAGTCCCCCTGAGAGCCCCGATTCTTGTGATTGAATCAAGCATCAAGTCAGAGAGAAACGGCGTGCCTTCGCTCACTCACAACAGCTTTCATTTGTTGCTGTTCAGTCTCGCCATTCGCGCCATCCGTCGGTCGTTGGTTCGGCATCTTCTCATGCTCGACTCTTTCGTGCACCTTTTGAATCGGCGTCGTTTCTGCGTTCGCTATTGTGCCTCTTGAGGTGCATTTTGAGGCGCCTCAAAATGCACCTCACTACACGCGGATTTTGAGGCGCCTCAAAAGCCATCCGTCGGTCGTTGGTTCGGCATCTTCTCATGCTCGACTCTTTCGTGCACCTTTTGAATCGGCGTCGTTTCTGCGCTCGCTCTTGTGCCTCCGTTACACGTCATTCCGTCTCCGTGGGCCTCTCAGGTGGATGGATGTGAAGCTGAGCGCAGCGGAGGAGCAGGGGGAATGGCTGGCCGATACTACAAAGTCCAAACTCTCAATGTCGTCAGCTATAACAGCGGGCGCTCTACTCTACAATCTATTCCGTTTCCGTACAATCTCTTTTTTTTTTTTTGTCCCCGTGTGTCTCTCAGGTGGTGGAGGTGAAGCTGAGTGCAGCAGAGGAGCAGGAGAAATGGCTGGCGGATGCACTCAACGTGGTCAAGCAGCAGGCCTTCTACATGCGCCGAGCTCTCGTGAGTCAACTGTTCACTGTTGAGCGATTCACCACAAGTCAAACTCTCAAGTGAGTCATGTCAATCCTTCATGGCTGGCGGATGCTCTCAACGTTGTCAAGCAGCAGGCCTTCTACATGCGCCGAGCACTCGTGAGTCCACTCTTGAACCCCGTACCACAAGTCAATCTTTGAATTAAAATAGTAATGTCAGAGATGGCTGGCGGACTCACTCAACGCTGTCAAGCAGACTCGGGCAATTAAAGCGAGCCCCTCTCATGTTTCCGCACAGATGCTCCTTTTCCCCTTCCTATCCTAACACCATCAACCACCTCCCCCTGCCTTCCTTCACTTGCTTCACTGATTCTCAGGACTCGGGTAATTTACGAGAGGCCCTCAAGTACTCCGCACAGATGCTCTTCTATCCTCTATCTTGCCCTCTAATGACTAACAGCCACCTCCTCTGCCTGCCTTCGCTGACTCTCAGGACTCGGGCAACCTACGAGAGGCCCTCAAGTACTCAGCGCAAATGCTTTCTGAGCTCCGCACCTCCAAGCTCGCACCACAGAAATACTACGAGCTCTGTACGTACTGCGTGTGCAGTGCTGGTTCCTTCAGTACTGATTTCTATAAAACCGCAGTGTTTATTGGTCCCGACTTCTTTAGTACCGAGTCAATCATTTCGTTTCCACATTCGTTCCCACCACGCCTTGACCATGCCTAGCAAACGTGTGTGCGATGCTTCCCTTTTTTGACAACTCTCAGCAATGACTCCACTCCACCATGCGTCCATGCGCCCATGCCCGCTTTTTTACGTGGCAGACATAGTGGTGTGTGGCGAGCTGCAGAACCTAGAGGCGTTCTTCTGGGATGAGTGGGACGAGCACGCTCAAACTGCCCATTCTAAGGCGCCTCAAAGTCCACCGCATCCGCACTGTTCCCCAACCCTGCGTGCATGGCATGGCAGACATAGTGGTGTGTGGCGAGCTGCAGAACCTGGAGGCCTTCTTCTGGGACGAGCACAAGATGCGCGGCCGCAGCTGTGTGGACCTCTATGAGCTCGTGCAGCACGCCGGCAACATCGTGCCAAGGCTGTGAGTTCTTTTGTTATTTTGTTTGTTTGTTTGTTTGTTTGTGTGTGTGTGTCTTTTTTTTTTTTTTTTTTTTTTAACGTCGGACTCCACAGTCAATGAATGGAACGGAATTCATTCGAGAGTCAAGGAAGCCTTGGTGGGAAGAGTTTACATGCGCATTGTGAGTTTCGAGATGTTTTGGAACTCTTCTTTCCTCCTCCCCGACCCCCCCCACTTTCCCCCAATTCTTCCCTCCGCTGGCCCAGGTATCTCCTGTGCACGGTAGGGGCAGTGTACATTCGCAGCAAGGAGGGGCCGGCTAAGGAGGTACTCAGCGACCTGAGCGAGGTGTGCAAGGGCGTGCAGCACCCCATCCGCGGGCTGTTCCTGAGGGCGCATCTCACCCAGTGCAGCCGAGATAAATTGCCCGATACTGGGTCGGAGTATGAAGGGTACGTTTGCAACAAGGGGTGAATGTGACTTGAAGTGGGAATTGAGGTGTGCCAGGGCGAGCAGCACCTCATTCGAGGGCTCTTCCTGAGAGTGCGCCTCACTCAGTGCTCCAGAGACAAGTTTCCTGACACAGGTTCCAAATACGAAGGGGTATGTACGGAACCTGACATGGTACAACAAGGGATGAATGGGGTTTGGTGTGTGCCGTGCCGTGCCGTGCCGTGACGTGCCGTGCCGTGCTCACTGGGAATGCTAAGTGAGGTGTGTGCAATGCAATGCAAGGGCTGTGTTGTTGTAGGCTTATGTTGGGAAATCTCCTTCGCTTTCCGGTTCTTCCTTTGCCACCCCCCTGTATCTGCAGCGAGGGCGGCACAGTGGTGGATGCAGTGCAGTGGAGTTCGAGTTTCTACTGCAGAACCTTAAACACCACCTCCCTTCCTTCCCCATTCTTTTTCTCCCATCACCACCCCTGTGTCTGTGACCCTGCAGCGAGGGCAGCACAGTGGTGGATGCGGTGGAGTTCCTGCTGCAGAACTTCAAGCACCCCTCCCCTCCCCCCGCCTTCCCTTTCCCTCTTCACGTCCCCCCTGTATCTGCAGCGAGGGAGGCATAGTGGTGGATGCAGTGGAGTTCCTACTGCAGAACTTTAAGCACTATTCTGCATTCCCCCCTTTCTGTTGCTACTGTCATTAACCCCCCTGTATCTGCAGCGAGGGTGGCACAGTGGTGGATGCAGTGGAGTTTCTGCTGCAGAACTTCACGGAGATGAACAAGCTGTGGGTGCGCATGCAGCACCAGGGGCCTGCCACCGAGAGGGAGAAGCGCGAGCAGGAGCGGCGAGAGCTCAGAGACTTGGTGAGTCCACCAACTATTCCATTACGTCTCTCCTTTTGAGTCGACACTGAATTCACATCTCCCTCGCGTTTCTTCTTCCCTCTCCCTCTCCTTTTCCCCCATCCTTCTTTTGCCACCCTCGCCTCCACTCGCTTTTTCCCTTCTCCTGATTTGCTCTTTTGCCCTTGAGGCCTCTCAAATCGCTTATGCCAACCGCCTAGGTGATTTACCTTACCGTTCTTTGTATCTTTTGAGCATCCTCAAAAGTTGCTTCTACAAACCATATATGTAATTTACCACCCTATTTTTTGTTTTAGGGTGTCTCAGAAGTCGCGTCTGCCAATTCCCAGTGTAATTTACTGTACCTTTTTTTTCTTCTTCTTCTTCTTCTTCTGAACCTCTCCTTCTCCACTCGCCCTTCTCGTCCTCGTCTGCCCACTGCAGGTGGGCAAGAATCTGCATCTGCTGAGTCAGCTGGAGGGGGTGAATCTGGACATGTACAAGACTGTAGTGCTGCCGCGCATCCTAGAGCAGGTGAGCCTCCTGATTGACCATCGGAAAAGCGTAGATTCAGTGAATCTGGACATATACAATAGTGCTGCCTCCTGTAGAGCAGGTAAATGAAAAGGGTTGGTAAAATGACTATGAATGATGACCGTGTGTGAGAATATTGCCGTATTTTCTTTCGGATCGTGAACCCGCCGGGATAAGATAGCCCAGCAGAGCAGTACCTAATAAACTGTGTCATCCCCCTGTCTCTGTCTCTGTCTCTGTCTCTGTCTCTGTCTCTGTCTCTGTCTCTGTCTCTGTCTCTTCTGTCTCTGTCTCTGTCTCTGTCTCTGTCTCTGTCTCTGTCTCTGTCTCTGTCTCTGTCTCTGTCTCTGTCTCTGTCTCTGTCTCTGTCTCTGTCTCTGTCTCTGTCTCTGTCTCTGTCTCTGTCTCTGTCTCTGTCTCTGTCTCTGTCTCTGTCTCTGTCTCTGTCTCTGTCTCTGTCTCTGTCTCTGTCTCTGTCTCTGTCTCTGTCTCTGTCTCTGTCTCTGTCTCTGTCTCTGTCTCTGTCTCTGTCTCTGTCTCTGTCTCTGTCTCTGTCTCTGTCTCTGTCTCTGTCTCTGTCTCTGTCTCTGTCTCTGTCTCTGTCTCTGTCTCTGTCTCTGTCTCTGTCTCTGTCTCTGTCTCTGTCTCTGTCTCTGTCTCTGTCTCTGTCTCTGTCTCTGTCTCTGTCTCTGTCTCTGTCTCTGTCTCTGTCTCTGTCTCTGTCTCTGTCTCTGTCCCTGTCTCTGTCTCTGTCTCTGTCTCTGTCTCTGTCTCTGTCCCGCCCCTCCCCTCCCTCTCTTATCACATCCCTCAGATCGTGAACAGCAGGGACGAGATAGCCAGCAGTACCTAATGGACTGCCTCATCCAGGTGTTCCCAGACGACTTCCATCTCAACACCCTTGAGACGCTCCTGGGGGCGTGCCCTGAGTGCGTGCACTGCATTCATCCTCCCTCCCCTCCTCTCTCGTTCCCTTCCTCTCTCGTTCCCTTCCTCATCGGACCTCCCTTCCAGATCGTGAACTGCAGGGACGAGATAGCCCAGCAATATTTGATGGACTGCCTCATCCAGGTTTTCCCAGACGACTTCCATCTCAACACCCTCGAGACGCTCCTGGGGGCGTGCCCTGAGCTACAGCCGAGTGTTGACGTGCGGACCATCATGTCTCAGTTGATGGACCGCCTTTCGACCTTCATGGATAAGAACCCTGATGTGAGTGGCACAGGCAGCCTTGCGATGTGATGTGTGTGCGCAGTGGCCTTATGCTGTGGAGTCCACTCCTCCCTGGAGGCGTGCCTCGAGCTGCAGCCCAGCGTTGATGTGCGAACCATCATGTCTCAACTCATGGACCGCCTATCGACCTTCATGGATAAGAACCCGGATGTGAGTGCTGGTAGCCCTGCGATGTGAGTGGCCAGTGGTCCTACGCTGTGGATGGCCTGCCCAGTGGTCCTCCTACACTGTGTGATCAAACTCCTCTCTTCCCTAGGGGCGTGCCCTGAGCTGCAGTGCAGCCGAGTGCTGACGTGCACACCAACATGTCTCAACTCATGGACTGCCCCTCAACCTTCATGAATAGAACCCATATCTGAGTATATAAGCGCACATTTGTGGGTCTAGCTCGTAGTCCCCTGGGGCCGTTTCCCGTGCGCGTCCGCTCCTAGGCACATATGCGGGTTTTGAGTCGACTCAAAACGCCTGGATATGTGTCCTGAGCTGCAGTGAAGTGGGCGTGCCTTTCCACCTTTTGTGAGTGTGTAGGCGCACGTTTGTGGGCATAGCTCGTAGGCCCCTGGGGCCACTCCCCCCATGTGCAGCCCCCTCTGAGGGCGTGTCCTGAGCGCACATCCTCTGGGCATACAGACCGCAGAGGATGTCCGCACAGTGTTCAGTTAAGGTGCTTCATTCATTCCCGTGCATTTTCAACCTCCTCATCTGGCGTCTGTTTTTTCTCCTTCCCCTGCTGCCCCGTAATCACCAGGCCTTGCCGCATTTCCTGGAGGTGGATGCTTTTGCCAAGTTCAACTCCGCTGTCAGCAAGGTGAGGAAAGCTGGGGGAATGGGGGGTAAGGTTGTGGACTGTGGAGGGCGGTTAATGCTGTTATAATTGTTAGGTGACTGGAAGTTTGGCCACAAATTAGGTGTCATTCCCTGGAGGTGGATTCTTTTGCCAAGCTCAACTCTGCTGTCAGCAAGGCGAGGCTTGGAGAAATAAGGGGCATGGTGGGTTTTTGAGGGGGGTAGAGTTGGTGACAGTGCAGTGCTCCATGCCATGTGTGTCAGTCACCCGTTTCCTTTTCTCTCTCAACCGACCCCTTCCCCCATCAGGTGATGAGGCACGGACCGAGATGCCTCTAAAGGGCGTCGCCAGTGAACAATTGACTCTGCTGCACGCAAAGTGTCTGTTTTCACTCCCACCCATCCCACCGGCGCCCCCCCTTCCCCCGTCCTTCCTCCCCCCGTCAGGGGATGGAGGCACAGGCGGAGAGGCTGCTGAAAGGCGTTGTCAGCCTGCATCTTGCCGTGCTCCCTCCCACCTGCCTCTGCTCCATGCCATGTGTGTCACCCCTCTCATCCTCCCTTGATTGAACGCCCTCCCCCAACCCAATCAGGTGATGGAGGCACAGGCGGAGAGGCTGCTCAAAGGCGTTGTCAGCCTGCATCTGCTGCTGCACGCCATGCATGTGTTCTCACTCACACCCTTCACCGCTCACCCACACATTCCCCCCCCCCGTCAGGTGATGGAGGCACAGGCGGAGATGCCTCTCAAGGGCGTTGTCAGCCTGCATCTCTCTCTGCTGCACGCCATGCGTCTGTTCTCACTCGCACCCTTCACCACCCGCGCCCCCATCCTCTTCCTCCCTCATCAGGTGATTGAGGAGCAGACGGAGATGCTGCTAAAGGGTGTGGTCAGTCTGCACCTTGCTCTGCTGGATGCCATGTGTCTGTTCTCACTCACACCCTTTACCACTCACCCTCACCTCCTTCCACCCTTTCCCCCACAAGGTGATGGAGGCGCAGGCGGAGATGCCTCTAAAGAGCGTTGTCCGCCTGCACCTTTCCTGCTCCCTCCCACCTGCCTCTGCTCCATGCCGTGCGTGTCACCCCTCACCCCTCTCATCATCCTCCCTTGAACGCCCTCCCCCAACCCCACCAGGTGATGGAGGCGCAGGCGGAGATGCCTCTAAAGAGCGTCGTCAGCCTGCATCTGGCTCTCCTGCAGTTTGTGCTGCGCGTGCATCCCGACCGCCTCGACTACATCGACCAAGTGCTGGTGAGCTCAACTCAAGCCCTTTCTACCAAGTGTGTGACAGCAGCAAGTGCTCGAGAGTGCAGTTTGTGCTGCGAGTGCATCCCGATCGCCTCGCCTCGACTACATCGACCAAGTGCTGGTGAGCTCACGCGTCTCAAGAACCGCCCAGCAGTGTTTTCTCTTCAGTTGACATGAAGAGTGCGTGACAGCACTAAGAGTGCTTGAGTGCTGCGCGTGCATCCCGACAGACTCGACTACATCGACCAAGTGCTGGTGACGCTCCTTCAGTCACATCCGCAGCAGTGTGTGCCGTCACATCCGCACCAGTGTGTGCCGTCACATCCGCACCAGTGTGTGCCGTCACATCCGCACCAGTGTGTGCCGTCACATCCGCACCAGTGTGTGCCGTCACATCCGCACCAGTGTGCATTCAACCAGCGTTCTCTCTTCAGCCAAGTGGTAAATGTGTTTCAAGTAACCGAGAATGCTGCGAGTGCATCCCGGCCGCGTCGACTACATAGACCAAGTGCTGGTGAACGTTGGTGCTTTTAACTCTGCCTGCCGATGTTTGTTTGGCAGCATCCTGCTGGTGAACGCATGCTGACGGTGCTGTCTCATGCTTGGCAGCTTTGGTCATGGCTCATGGCTCATGTTGACCACGAGACAAGCCACGAGACAACCCCTTTCTATCCCGCCTCCTTTCCTTTGTCTCTCCTCTCCCGCCTCCCTCCCCTGCGACCCACTTCCCTGTCTGTATCCCAACCAACAGGCGGCTTGTGTGGGGATATTGGATGCGAGGAGGCAGACCAAGGACAGCCCGACAACAAAGCAGCTGGTGGCGCTACTCTCAGCAGCGCTGGACAAGTTTGGGCCGGGCGGCGTGCTGACGGTGCTGCAGCTACCACACTACGCACGGGTCATGGGGCACCTGGACCATGAGACGAATAAGGCAATGGCGGTGGTGATCATTCAGAACATGGTGAAGCATGAGACCACGATTGGAGACCCAGAGAAGGTGAGTTACGGGCTGATATGCTTCTCACCTGCCGCATTACGCGCGGGTCATAGGGCACCTGGACCATGAAACAAATAAAGCCATGGCGGTGGTTATTAATACAAAATATGGTCAAACACGAGACAACCATTGGAGACCCTGAGAAGGTGCGTTGAGGGCTCAGGGCTGATCTGATCTGATCTGATCTGATCTGATCAGGGTTGTGCCTCTGCAGCACGAATTCCAGACTCCAGAGGGACTACGCGCGGGTCATGGGGCACCTGGACCACGGGACCAATAAGGCCATGGCGGTGGTGATCATACAGAACATGGTCAAACACGAGACGACAATTGGGGACCCGGAGAAGGTGAGTGGGTGGTGTGCCACCATTTGAATGTCTCAAGTCATTTACATGTGCATGCATTGAGGTCGCTTCGCTCTTGTTGCTCTCTGCAAGCCTCGTCCACCATCTCACCACATTCCTCTCCTCTGCTCCCCTCCCGCCCCTCCCCCCCACCACCCGACCCTTTTCAGGTGGAGTGCTTACTCAGCCTCGTGCGCCATCTCACTCAAGACATGGACGGCGTTCCTCCAGTCGACGAGGTGAGCTTGCTGTAAGGACCCGCGATTAATGGCACACAGTGTTGGGAAGTGAGGAGTGGGGCATGTGATGCTGGGAGGGAGGGCGTGTGCTAGAGGAGGAGTGTTGAGAGAGCATGGCTTACTTACTCTTGACATGGCGGAGGCCCCTCTTGAGTCATCTCAAAAGGCGAAGGGAGGGAGGGCATGTGCAGCTTCTTTGTTCATGTGCCATATCCAGTACTTTGTTCTTTCTCCTCCTCCTCCTCAACCCCACGGCCTTGGTGCCTTTCCCAATCCATTTCACACCTCGTTGCCATTTGTTCTCTCTCAAACTTGCTCTCCCCCCCACTCCCCCTCGCCCTTCCAGCTCGACATGAACGAATCTTAAGAGGAGCAAAATGCGATGGCTCCAAGTGCTCTGAACCCACGTGTGATGAGTCGATTTTTAAGTCGACTCAAAAACAAAAATCGACTCATCACACGCAAAATGTGATGGCTCCATGTGCTCTGAGCCCACCTCCGTTCGCCTTCTCTCCTCCTTTCTTCTTTTTCGGCTCTCTGTTTCTCCTCCTCTGATTCTCCTCCTCATCCCCTTTTTTATTCCTTCTCTTACCCCCCCCTCCTCCAGCTTGACATGGACGACTTTTCTGAGGAGCAGAATCTCGTGGCGCGTCTCGTGCACCTGCTCGTCAATCCCGACCCGAGAATACAGTTCCAGGTGAGTTACAACTGCACCTTAGTGAGGCAATGTCATTTAGCTTCCAAGTGAAGCTGAGGACCTGCTGGTCAATCCCGACCCGAGAATACAGTTCCAGGTGAGTCTAGAAGAAGTAACGTAGTTCCTCCCGTCTCAGCCCCCATCCCGCCTCGTCCACATGAAGTGCTGTTTCATGCCTTCCTCATCCGTCCAGCCTGCACCTTCTCTCTGTTTCATGCCTTCCTCATCCGTCCAGCCTGCACCTTCTCTCTGTTTCATGCCTTCCTCATCCGTCCAGCCTGCACCTTCTCTCTGTTTCATGCCTTCCTCATCCGTCCAGCCTGCACCTTCTCTCTGTTTCATGCCTTCCTCTGCTTGCCCGCACACCCCGCCATCATCCGAACGCATCTCTTCAAGGAGGCCAGTGAAGGCTGCAACTTTCCCTCTCTCTGTTGCAGCCTGCGTGGCCTACTGTGTCTTACACATCGCTCCCTCTCTGTTCCCTCCACTTGCCTACACGTGTCAGATCCTAGCCATCATCCGAACGCATCTCTTCAAGGGAGGCCAATCCAGACTACGCTTCACCATCCCCTCACTTGTCTTCTGCTCGCTACAGGTATGCTCGTTATAGTTTGCAAGTACACTCGTCAACGGTGTATCCTTAGCTTTCTGCAAGACACCTCATTTTGCATATAACCGGGCAGACTGTTGAAATTACTTACATTGTTCCAGCACTGAGTTCTGATGTTTTTTCCTCTTAACAGCAAACAGTGGATGGCTGATTCATCATAAATCAGTGTCGTTCAGTGCGCTAGTACTACAATTCAGAGCCTCCATTTGCTGCATGCGTGGACTACCTCATCTCTATCGCTTGACCATCACATCCCTTGGTGTGTTTTTGGGACATCTCAAGAGCTCAGTTCCTTCTTTCACTCCTGTTTTCCCTCCATCACAGCTGCTGCACCAGCTGTTACCTCAGGGCATCACAGAGGCGGATCAAGCACTGGCAGCAGCTGGGGCAGGCAGGGAACTGTTCATCACCCTTTTGTTGAGATATCGTCCTCTCAATCTTCTCCAATCCCTGCCCACCATCACAGCTGGTGCACCAGCTACTAGCTCAGGGCATCACAGGCGCGGATCAAGCACTGGCAACAGCGGGGGCAGCGGCGAGTCAAGCAGCAATGGCGGCTGCTGCAGCAGAAGCAGACACTCTCACCCCTCTGACCTCCTCTCATGCTGCTGCTTCTTTCCCTGCGCTCTTGTTTCCTTCCCTCCACAGTTGGTGCACCAGCTGCTATCTCAGGGCATCACAGGGGCGGATCAGGCACTGGCAACAGCGGGGGCAGCGGCGAGTCAAGCAGCAATGGCGGCTGCTGCAGCAGGGGAGGGGCCTGTCACTCCTCTCACGCTCTTCCTCTTCCTGCACAAGGTCTGTCACGCTCGTTTGTTGCGCTTGCTTGCTTGCTCTGCTAGCACGTGGCCCTTGGTTCGACTGTGTAATAGTGCAGCAGGGGGGAAGGGGCCTGTCACGCCGCTCACGCTCTTCCTCTTCCTGCACAAGGTCTGTTGTCCTTGCTTGTTGCGCACGCTTGCTCTGCTACCATGTGGCCCTTGGGGTCGACCGTGTGAATTTGCAGCAGGGGAGGGGCCTGTCACTCCGCTCACGCTCTTCCTCGTCCTGCACAAGGTTGGTTTCTCTCGCGTCCCTTTGTCCATCTGCGTCACTCGACAGTTCCGATCTGCTACAGAATAATCCCAGCTGCTGCTTCCATGCCAAAGGATTCAAATCCTTATCAACAGCAGCCTCTCTTCTGTTTGAGCTTCCCCATAAGTGCTCTCTTCCCTCCTCCCCCACACCCCACACCCCATACCCCATACCCCACACCCCATACCCCATACCCCATACTCCATACCCCACCCCACACCCCACACCCCACACCCCACCCGCACCCACATGCCAGGTGGTGGAGACCCTGTCAGAGTTCGTGCCTCCATTGGCCCTCAAGCTCGCCCTCGAGTGCGCGCAGGTGGCCAGTGCGTGTGGTCTGGAGCCCATCGCATATGACCTCTTCACCCTCGCCTTTGTCATTTATGAGGAGGAGATATCGGTCAGTAGCCTGTGCTGTGCACATGTAAGAATGCATGCATGGGATGATGTGTGCACGCCTGTGTGCGACTGTGTGCGTGTGGCCTGGAGCCTATCGCCTATGACCTCTTCACCCTCACCTTTGTCATCTATGAATGGAGATCTGAGTTCCTCACATTCAAGCAATGGCGGAAATCTGACAGCTGCATGTTATGCATGTGCGTCCTTCTTTCTCCGTGCTCACATGTGATAAGGCGAGTTTTGAGTCGACTCAAAACATGCCACTCACCGATATCTCCTCCTCATAACATGCACTCAAATCTCAACTTATCACACAAATCTGACAGCTGCATGTTATGTATGTGCGTCCTTCTCCCTACTCACATTCAACCAATGGCGGTTGGATATCCCAACCTTTGCCCAAACCACCTTCTTCCCTTCCAGCCTTCGCTTCCACCTATGTGTGCCCTTCTTTCCTTGATTGATACAAACTTTCACTTTCTAACAACTCTCTCACCCCTCTGCTCTTCTCTTCTCGCCTCTCTCCTCTCTCCTCTCTCCTCTCTCCTCTCTCCTCTCTCCGCACCTCTCCTCCACCAGGATTCCAAGGCACAGGTCACCGCTCTGCACCTGATCATTGGAACGCTGCAGCGCTGCCACGTGTTTGCAGAGGAGAACAGAGACACGCTCACACACAAGGCCACTGGAGTACGTACGGTTACCACATAGTGTTACCATGTAGAGATACCAGGTATGTTCAGCAGGTCTGGTTACCAAGTAGGGTGCAGGTCACCGCTCTGCACCGCATCACAGGAACGCTGCAGCACTGCCACTCACGTGTTTACAGAGGTGAATCGCCCTCACTCACAAGGCCACTGCAGGTTCGTCCTATATAGGGTTACCACATAGGTTTACCACACATGGTTGCCACATGGGACTGCAACATAGGGTTACCACCAGGTATAGTTACCAGGTATGTTTCATGCTCTGTGGTTCATTGCCCACCTGCTCTTCCTGTCTCCACTTTGAGAACCCCCCTCATTTCCTCTGTTCCTCCTTTCCTCCCTGCCATCCCCAGTACTCGGCCAAGCTACTAAAGAAAGCGGATCAGTGTCGTGCTGTGTGCACCTGTGCACACCTCTTCTGGAGCGATGAGGAGAACGGCCCTAGAGATGGCGAAAGGTGAGATGCAAACTGGTTCCTAGGTAAATTTTGCGCCTACTCAAAAGCGGACCAGTGTCGCGCTGTGTGCACCTGTGCACACCTCTTCTGGAGCGATGAGGAGAACGGCCCTAGAGATGGCGAAAGGTGAGATGCAAACTGGTTCCTAGGTAAATTTTGCGCCTACTCAAAAGCGGACCAGTGTCGCGCTGTGTGCACCTGTGCACACCTCTTCTGGAGCGATGAGGAGAACGGCCCTAGAGATGGCGAAAGGTGAGATGCAAACTGGTTCCTAGGTAAATTTTGCGCCTACTCAAAAGCGGACCAGTGTCGCGCTGTGTGCACCTGTGCACACCTCTTCTGGAGCGATGAGGAGAACGGCCCTAGAGATGGCGAAAGGTGAGATGCAAACTGGTTCCTAGGTAAATTTTGCGCCTACTCAAAAGCGGACCAGTGTCGCGCTGTGTGCACCTGTGCACACCTCTTCTGGAGCGATGAGGAGAACGACCCTAGAGATGGCGAAAGGTGAGATGCAAACTGGTTCCTAGGTAAATTTTGCGCCTACTCAAAAGCGGACCAGTGTCGCGCTGTGTGCACCTGTGCACACCTCTTCTGGAGCGACGAGGAGAACGGCCCTAGAGACGGCGAGAGGTGAGATGCAAACTTTGCTCCTTCCTCCTTCCCAAGTTCAAACTAGCTGCTATTTTTCTCAGTATCCCAGCATCCCAAATTCCTCCCCCCTTTCAGTGTTCATATCAGTACGCTCCACTTTCGTTTTCCGAGGCATTGCCACTTTCGTTGCTCCCTTTGCCAGTCTTTCAACTGCACATTCCAATTTCCATCTATCTTAGCTGCTTCCCCTGCACAGGGTGGTGTTGTATCTGAAGCGAGCTCTCAAGGTAGCCAACCATTGCAGCAGCTCAACAGCTCTCTGCCTCTGCTAGAGCTCTCCACTCCACCCGTCCATTGCCTTCACTCCCATCTATCATTCTATCAATCTCCCTTCTATCTTACCCGCTGCTCCCCATGCACCAGGGTGGTGCTGTGTCTCAAGAGAGCGCTCAAGATTGCCAATGCGGCGGCTCAGCAGCTCTCTTCTGCTGCTAGAGTGCTCTCAAGATTCACTGCATTCACTCCCATCTATCATTCTCATCCGCGCATCCCAATCTTACTTATATCTTACCCGCTGCTCCCCATGCACCAGGGTGGTGCTGTGTCTCAAGAGAGCGCTCAAGATTGCCAACGCAGCAGCTCAGCAGCTCTCAGCCGCTGCCAGAGTGCCCGGTTCGCACGTGGTGCTGCTGGTGGAGATTCTCAACAAGTGAGTCTCATCGTGTTAGTGTGTGTGTGTGCGTATGATAAACAATGTGTGCGGGTGGTGTTGTGTCTAAAGCGAGCGCTCAAGATTGCCAATGCAGCGGCCCAACAGCTCTCTGCTGCTGCCAGAGTGCCTGGCTCGCACGTTGGTTTGAATTTTGAGAACCAACATGGCTCGCACGTTGGTTTGACTTTTGAGAACCAACATGGCTCGCACGTTGGTTTGACTTTTGAGAACCAACATGGCTCGCACGTTGGTTTTGACTTTTGAGAACCAACATGGCTCGCACGTGGTGCTGCTGCTGGAGATTCTGAACAAGTGAGTACTATGGCATGTGCTTGTGTTTGCTTAACAGTAGTCAAGTGTGTGTGTGGGTGGGCGTGTGCTTAACAGCAGTCAACAATTCCCGTTTCCCCCACCCTTCCCTCTCCCTCCCCAGATACCTGTACTTCTTTGACAAGGGCAACCCCCATGTGACCCCCGTGGTGCTGCAAGGCCTCATCGAGCTCATCACCTCCGAGCTCGCTGTCGATGGCGCCACCGTCGATGCCACCGTGCACAGCTTTTACCGGGCGACGCTTGCGCATATTAAGGACCAGAAGCACAAGGCGGGTGCGATAGGGGAGAAGTATGCTGAAATCCAGATTTGATCGTTTCCCAAATGGCCTCATCGAGCTCATCACCTCCGAGCTCGCTGTGGATGGCGCCACCGTGGATGCCACCGTGCACAGCTTCTACCGGGCGACGCTTGCCCATATAAAGGACCAGAAGCACAAGGCGGGTGCGATAGGGGAGAAGTACTCAGAGATCCAAATCTGATACAGTTTTTCCAAAAGAGCTAGTGTGATTGGCGCCACCGTCAATGCCATCATGCATGTTGGAATCAGTTCCAAGCGTGTACTTTCTGTATTTTCCCATCAAGGATTCGTTTTTCCCGCAGGGTCCACTCCACTCAATTACTAGTCTGACTACGCACTAGGAAGGTACCAATACCGTGTGCCTCTAATAAAAACGAGTCGCGTCAGGGAAGGGGCAACTGGCAGGAGCAGAGCGTGCAAGTGGCGAGAGACGAGAGTGCGGAGGGTTCAAGTGGTGAGGCGAGAATGGAAGGTTCAAGTAGAGAGGCAGGAACGGAGAGGGTTCAATAGTGGTGAGGCAAGAGCAGAAGGCTCAACTAGCAATGGAGGATTGAGCAGAGGGCATTTTCTGAATGACATGGATCTTTTTCTTTGTACCATGTGATTGTGGACTGGAAGTGGTGAGGACCCTCAACTCAAGCAAGCAAGACTCAACCTACATAGGCATCAGATAAAGGCATCCAGGTGCTTGGTACGGTACTTCCCCACTTTTATCACCCAACTCGTTTTCTATACGAAGGTTAAAAGGCACCCTAGGGTTGTGTATACGGGGAAACATGGTGCAACAAACCATAACTACCACCAGCCTTCTCAAAGCGCACGCCACACCACTGATAACCGGGCCATCCTCATCCGCCCTTTCCCCAATTGCAGCAGTGGCTCTCATAATGTGAGAGTGAGTGGCAAACCATGTCAATGCCCATTGCCTCTACCCGCACGCACCAGCTCCAGCCTAGCCCGCCCAATGAATTCACCCTCCCTTTCCGTTGCACCAGCACGTAAGACAGGGAGCAGCAGAGAGAGGAGCCGAGCGAGGTGGACAGCAAAAGGTGCCAGGAGGGTTGAAGATCGCAGATAAAGGATCGGGGAGGAGGATTGGGGGGGCAGCATAGAAGGGAGCAGAAAGAGGAGGACAGGGAAGAGCAAGAGGAGGAGATGGAGGAGGAGATGGAGGCAGCAATGACGCAAGGCAGATGGCAGGAACCTGCCGTCCCGCATCTCCATGCACGGTTCCACATGTTGGACGCTTGCTGGTACAGCAGTGCTCGCGTGCTGAGTGATTCAAAGAAGCCGTTGACAGAGGTTGCCATGAGAGGATTTCCCTTCAAGCTGCCAAACTGTTGCTTGAAGTACGGAGGGTTGCGAGGGTCGGGAAAGGAGTTGACTGTAGACACGAGCAGGAGCTGTGTGATGCCCCACGCCTCTTTCTCTGAAAGCCCAGCAGTCTCCTCCATACATGCGCCATGCAGCACTGCACCAACCACACGTTGCCCTGCTGTGTTCCCCACGGCTGCCCCATGCGCGGTCCAGGCTACACCCACTCCATTCTCGCATCCCACGCCCGCTTTGCCTTCACCCTCACCACAGCTTCCACCACACCCGCCCCTGCTTCCACTTCCCCCCACCCCTCCAGCTCCGCCACTCCCCTCCTCAGCACTGGCAGCTTGTTTCTCCCTCGACTTGCGCTTCTCCAGCCGATTGTCTGGCAGCAGCAGCAGGGCTGCGAGGGCAGCCTTGAGATGAAGGAGCGTGAGGTGGAGGCGGGCATGAAGGCGAGAGTGCGTGGAGGAAGGACTGGGGTGGAGGAGGAGGGAGGTGAGGAGGTTGTGAGTGGGAGTGAGAGAACAGGGCTGGAAGAAGGCAGAGCGTGAGCAGGAAAGTGTGGTGACAGGGAGCAACGACAGGAAGGGTTCAGAAAGGAAAAAGAGGGTGTGAACGGGGCTGAGCAGAGAAGGGCATGGGAAGGGTGTCTGATGCAGAGAGAGCGGTGGTTCAGAAGCAGTGGCCATGTGATGTTTGCACGTGGCCATAGTGACCTGCCAAAGCCACATTCAGTTCAAACACAGACGGCAAAGGAATGGGAGGAGTTTGGGAAACGACCGTTTGAGACCGTCCCCGAAAGAACACAAGGGGACTATGGGCAGGTACAATACGGCACAAAGGGATGAACCAAAGTTCTATGTGAAAGAAAGATTGGCATTAGATTATAGATACAGGCAATAATCCACCATACGTGACTGCCCTTCTGAACACTCAAAACTTGGAGCAGTGACTACAGAGCAAGACGGGTATGTTGGAACTTGAGCTAAGAATCTATACATTAGTAATGAGCTCGAAGCTCTTTAAGTACATCCAGGATGAGCAAGGAATGGATGGGGAAGGGAATCCAAGACAATCTCTAGGGATTGGGGGTAAACCCAAGGCAATCTCCAATTGGTGGGTTGGAGATTGCTTGGACATCACATTTGGGTTTGGTTTGGATGTGGGTGTACATCCAACCAAACACTAAGTGCAAACTACACTACGCTAGGATATAGAAAGTACAAACCACAAGGTGTGAGATTGAGGCTAACACTAACAAGGTACCAACCTTGTCAGAGCAGCTTATGAGTGCAGAGGAGCACAGCTGAACCCCATCAAACACCACTCGCCTCGTGTCCTCCAATCGCTTCTCAAACTCCTTCTCCCACACCCCTTTCACCGCCTTTACAGCTTGCTTCCCCTCCATCTTTCCCGCTCCGCCCTGTGGAGGACAGCCTCTCAGCCTTCTCCCCCAGCGCCCACGCCAACCCCATGTCATCGATCTGGCAGGAGGGGAAGAGGAGGAGAGGATGCGGCGGTGGAAGGTGGTGGTGGAGAGGAGGGAGAAAAGGGCGTGCAGGTGGGGCAGGTGGGAGTCTGATTTAAGCATGGAGTGGTTGTGGAGATGGTGCAGGGCGGGTAGCAGGGAGGCCAGCCTGCGAGCCCATCGCCACCACCAGAGAGCCGCCTTGTGGTGGAGAAGAGAGAGGACGGCGCGGGGAGATTGCACGCCTGTAGAGCTGCTGCTGCTGCAGCTGATATTGTGACAGCACGACTGGCCAATGCAGCCGTTGACGCTGTAGCCGCTGCTGTTGCATTGGCAGCAGGCTTTTGAGTCGACTCAAAAGTCAATGCAGCCGTTGACGCTGTAGCCGCTGCTGTTGCGTTGGCAGCAGGCTGAGATGTGTGAGCAGCAGGTTCGCGGCGGGGGCAATTGCTGTGGAGGCTCAGCTGAAAAATGCTCCTCCAGGTAGTGCAACAGGCAGCGCTGCCCCCACTGCAGCAAGCACAGAGACTCCTGCAGCCCGGTGTAAGCGAGCATCAGCTCTGCTCGCAGCTGCTCCGCCCCCTTCCACTCCACACGCCCCTTCTGCTCACCACCCCTGCTGTCCCTCTGCTCCATGCCGCTGCCTCTCCGCCCGCCTCTCTCGCCACACCTGCTCCGAGCCCTTCCGCAGCAACGTCACCCCCCTCCCAAAGCTCCTCCACCTCTATCAACTCCGCCTTGCTCAACTCATTCACCACCATCTGCCGGCTCCACGCCCCTGAACCTGCTCTCTCCACTGTTTACAGCAGCGCTCTGAGGGCCTATCGCTCTGCTGTTTACAGCAGCGCTCTGAGGGCCTATCTCCATGCGCCCTGCTGGAAGCATCTGACCCCGGCTTACCAGCATCCACCGCTTGCGACACGCGAGCCTCCCTTTTCCGCACTCTTTGCTCGGCCCAGCTCCACACAAGATGCACACATAGCAGCACTCCCCGCCCCTTGGTCTGTAGCTTCTGACACACGCCTATCTGGACAACCTGCTTTGCCACTGATCCCACCATCACCACCAGCAGCAACAGAAGCAGCAGGCAGCAGAAATCATCAGCATTATCAGCACCATCAGCAGCATCAGCAGCATCAGCAGCATCAGAGTGAAGCTCAATCACGAACAATAGAACGCTCATCTCCACCTTGGCCCACGCCAGATCACTCCCCTCACAACTCCATCCTGTCTGCAAACTCCAAACCTCTCCGTTTCAATTACCCGCAGCCGCCGAGCCATCGCCACCGTCCTCTCTGCTCAGCGCCACCCCCTCCCCTGCCCCTCGCTGCCGCCCCCTGCTTCCCTCCTCATTCCACCCGCCACGACCCTAGTCCCGCCGCATTCACACCGCCACTGCAGGTGCCGCACAAAGGCCACCAGGCCCGCCCTGGCCAGCCCCTGTTCCACAAGTGAGTGCATGCCTCCAGCAGCATCCCCGCTCTCAGCAGTATACCCGGCACCCGCCTCACCTCGCCCTCCTGCTCCTCTAGACCTGCCAGCTCCCTCAGGTGCCTCTCGCCCTCCAGGAACGCGCGGCTTGGCGGGCAATCCCGGCAGCAGATGCACATACGCCATCATCTCGCCGTAACTGCCTCGCTCTCCCAGCCTCCTTGCACATTCCTCTACGTACCAATGCCTCAGGTGAGACAAATCTCCACTCCTTGGTCCCGCAGATGCTGAGGCTGGACTCACTTGCCCCGTGAGATGCCGGTGCTGACGTGGCCTGGTGAGACGCCACTGCCTGCCAGCTGTCGAGCAGTGAGAGGCCCTTGGCAAAGATGCTGCCACGTAGGCACGCAGCGAGGGCACTGGGTCTGTCGCCCAAGGCGTTGTAGCAATCAGATGCTTCGGCGAACCTGCCTAGCTTCTCGAAGCACCGTGCAGCGTTGCGTGGTCAGGAGGTTGGCAGAGCGTGAGATAGGCACGTGCTGGTGGCGGGGGGGGTGGGGCGATGGGAGAAATCTTTAAAAGATTAAGGGAGGGCGGGAGAGCAGGGCGCAAGGCGAGCGTGTGAAAGGCATGACATGCGTGACAGACGAGGAAAGAAATGAATGGTGGATGACGAACGGCGGGGCGCATGCGAGTGCTTGCAAGATGCACTAACGTTGCGCTGCGCTCATGTATGCTCTGCAGCCTTCTCCGTGTGCTCATCGTCGCACATGAACGCTCATACCTTCACCGCCCCATGCATACGTGAAACAACCCTTACCTGCTTCCTCATTGCACCCAGCCTTGGCATACGCACGGGCCTGCCTCCAAGCCCCTCTTGATGCCCTCAAAACAACGAGCCGCAGCCAGGAGCAGATCGGTGCAGGACAGCAGAGAGAGGTCCGGGAGCACTGGGGGCAGCGCAGACGAGGCTGATGATGCAGAGGAGGTTGATACAGCAATGGCGGCTGCAGATGGCTGTGCTGTGCACCCTATGCCCGCCTCATAGAACATGGTGGCTTCAGCGAAGCGAGCGTTGCCCGTGTCCCCAGCCCGTTCAAAGCTCGCCCGAGCTGCCTCGTAATCGCCTCTTTGAAAGAACCTGCGGACCATGGGTTGGGAGCACCATGTGGAAGGGGCAGCGCAGAGGATATGAGGTCGCAGCAAGGCAAATTCAAGCTGAGAGAATATCCAACTTTATATTGAATGCTGGTCATGTTCGTTTTCATTTTGTGTAGTCGATTCCCAACTAGGCACAATATAGTAACTGAATAAAACAAGAAAAGACAGCTGCTCAGCAGTCTTTATTTGGCATAGATACCACGCGGAAGCAAGAGGAGCGGGGGGGACCAGAGGGTTGAGAGATGACCGTGGCGTTTAAGATATGAGATGCAGCAGGGAGAAGCATCAAGACGAGCAGAGCCACAACCTCCCACCATCGCCAGCACTGCACAGGCTGTTGTTGCCCAACCAACTCACAGTAAAGCCAAGCGCCTTCCAGTCTTTCTCACTGGACACACGCTTCACATACTCCGGGCACACCTCCCTTTCTTCCTTCACTGCCACAATGCCCATCGCCGCCCACAGGTTCCCATGGGCGTACGCTCGCCTGCCCCCCTCTCCTCCAGCACCCACAGCCTCTGCTTGGCCCTCGTTATTGCCACGTACAGCTGCTTTAACTCGGAGCACAGCGACCAGTGCCTGCAGGGCACAGGGCAGCGGACGTAATGGAAGGCAGAGAGATGCATGGCAATTGTAGAGTCGAGCCGACTCACAATGCAGACACGTGCGTATGCTTTGGGTTCACAAGCTGGCTGACTAGTCTTGTACTCTGCTGCCCAGTGCTTCGAGATCTTCTGACCTACACTACCCCAGATGAAGGTGAAGATGAAGGTGAAGATGAAGGTGAAGTTCATAGGAAAGTCCATCGGCTTGCCGGCTGCACCCTAGAGAAGACAGAGAGACGCACAGCAGACGCAGAAGGAATGCTTTACAGGACAAGCAACAGCCGGGTCACTCTTTTGTAGTGCATGCGTGGCACGAAGGCAGCAGCAAAGCCCACCTGAGGTCATCCAGAGTGGCAGAGACTGCAGCTGCTATGGCCCTTGGTGCTGCAGCGACAAGGCAGGCTGGCGCCAAAGCGCGGTGAGGAGGCCAGTGCTGGCGCATGTAGGTGTACACGAGATGCCAAGGGTGCCGTGGAGTGCGGTGAGGTGAAGAAGTTGAAAAGTAGTACGTCCTGACAAGCAAGGGAACAGCGCAAGGAAGGGCGGAAGGGACGGGGGATGAAAGTCGAGAAGCAAAACGGCAAGCAGATCGTGAGCATGCAAGTGGAGAGCTCGGCAGGATTGGAATCGTGAGAACGAGGAAACTTGCAGCCATTGCTATGAGGCGACCCCTGGTACGATTCACGGCGTTACAAGTTAGGCGGGGCATGAACACACCTCGAACTCGAGTCCCTTGCACTCTTCGACTGTGAGGACCACCGGCTTCACTTTAAAGTGCCCAGCCATGGCACGCTTCTCCTCCGCGCTGCGCACTATGATGGCCTGCATGGCGCGAAGAGATATGTGTCGTGTGGTGATCCTTAGGATCTTCCACGCAAGGTGACTTTTTTAACTCGACAAGAACCTTAGCATTTCAAGCATGGTATGGTGGGTGCATGAAAAGCCCTCCTAGAGGGCATAGCTTCCTAGAGGGCTTGGACTTCCGGTCCTAGAAGGTATGCCCTGTTGGAAGGCGAGTGCGGTTCAGCACAAGGGAGAGCGAAAGGTGCCCACCTGAGTGGCGCTGAGAGGCCTGCCCTGAGCGAGCTGGGTGTTTCCACGAGGAGGAAACTGCCGCCAGCACCGGCTTGCACCCCTCCACCGTACTCAGCTCCTCATGCAGCCGGTCTATGGACAGCGGGAAGAAGCTTTTCAGAAGCTGCACGACGCTGTTTGCGAGGCGCAGCACTCCGTTGTGAGTGCCGGTAGTTGCGCACCAGCTGAAACGTGGGGAGAGATTTCACCAACTGGTGAGACGCTGCATTGCTGCTGCTGCTGCTGCTGCGGCTGCTGCTGCTAGGATTGCTGATCTTACTCTCGACCCTTTCTGCTCCTCTCTTTCCGCCCCTCGCCTCTCTCCCAGATTTGCTGGCCACCCTTTCCCACCTATTGAATCCCCTCTTTCCCCCCCAACCCTGCCACACTCATCCCCTTTATTCAGAAACTCGCTATAGACAACCCGGGCAAGTCTTCAAAGCGGAAGTCCACCCCATGAGCGATGGACTGAGCCGTGTCACCCGCGAGCACGAAGCCAGAAGCAACGTTGGAGCAAAGGAGCGGCAGCAGCGCGAGCTGTGCCTGTGTGAGGTCCTGCACCTCGTCTACCGCCACACAGTCAAACACAGCACCTACGCACTCCGCTGGGCTGTGGTGCATGTGACGGCTGTGACGGCACACTGCCAGTGGTGGTGCATCCAACAGTGGTGCGACCGACTGGCACCATCGCGACTGGCGCCACTGCTGGATGCACCACCCACGGCAACGCCATCCTCCACAGCCCACCACGGCTCGTTGCTCGCCCGCATGCGCCGCACCTCGCGGTGCAGATACCCCACTAGGTCCGCGCAGTCATACTCGCCCTGCCGCCTCTTCCTCCTCTCATACGCCCGGAACACATCATACACCGCCTGCCGGTCCGCCCCTCTCATGCCACTCGTGCGTTCGTTGCTGCCCACCATGCCCCCCACGTACTCCTCCTCGCCCACATGCCCCTGCAGCGACTGCAATCGCCTGCAGGCTGCCCTTGATGTGAGAGCTGATCTCGCGCCACAACGAATGCCGCATCCATCACAGCTCTGTTGGTGGCTCGCTTGTCCAGGGTGCGCCCAGTAGTGCCGCCTGAACCCGCTCATAATCCACCTCCACGTCCTCCTCCCCCTCCCCTTCCTCTCCTTCTCCTTCCTCCTCTGCTTCTTTCCCTTTCCACCCTTCACCCGCTGCTCCCGCCATCCTCCCCAGCCATCCCGCCCTCTTCCACTCCTGCTGCACTCGCCTCCTCCCAAGCCCTCCCCTTCTCGCCTCCATTCCCCCCTTGCACTGCCCCCTTTCGCACTGCCCCCCTTCGCCTCCCACCGGTCCTTCTCAACACGGCCACTCCACGCGCCCTCAACCTGCCCCTCCTCCCACGCCTGCCTCACCGCCCCGCCCACTCACGCCAATGGCCAGCACCAGGCGCTGCCTCGCCTCCTCCTGCCGGCGCCGGCGCCGCGTGGAGTGCAGGAAGGGGCGCGAGACGGACGCGTCGAGCAGGCGCAGCAGCTTGGAGAGGGTGAGCGCGAGGGGGAACGCGGTGGGCGGAATGGCGGCGATGCACAGCGGCAACCCCCCCATAAGGGCGCTCTCCAGGTCCTCCCGCATTAACAGCCTGCCACCGCTGCTGCTGCCGCTGCCACTGTTGCTGGCCCGTGCCGCTCCTGCTCCCCACGCGTTGACCGGCTGTTGCAACAGCTGCCTGTGCTCCGTGCGCATGTTGACCCGCTTGGGGGAGTGGCGGGGCGAGCCGGCTTGGAAAGCATCGAGGGCTGCTATCGCCCTGGTGGTGGTGGTGGTAGCATGGTGGATGGGATGGGGGAGGGAGACACAAGGCACTTGGGTTTACTTTTGAGTCGACTCAAAAGGTAGCATGGTGGATGGGGGAGGGAGACACAAGGCACTTGGGCTTGCATGCAGGGAGTTCCATTCCAGCCTGCCTCCTTGGCACGTCCACACCTAATAAAAGGCCCATTCATGCAGCGTGCAATGCAATGCAACGCAATGCAACACCCATGAGCGCCATGCAACAGACAACCACCAGAGAGGCATCAACTTGATGACACCCATCGTGTCCTCTTGGCTGCACGCACAAGCAGCAGCAGCAGCCCCCACTCTCGACCGTGCAGCCTTCACGAGTTCAGTCTGAATGGACGCGCACAGGTGCAGGCTCCGAGTCAACACCACCTGCCGCAACCCGCCCCCGCTCCCATCCCCCACATCATCACCCACGCCGTCACCCTGTGCGGTGATTGAAGCGTTGGCAGGAGAAGGCAGTCCGAGGAGCAGGTGGGGCGGGAGGGGCAGAGAGGCGGAAGAGCCGGTCCCAGGTGCAGCACGCGGTGGAGTATGACTGTTGTCTTGCCGGTGCCTGGGAGGGAGTGGGGAATGGGGAGAGTTGATATCGAGTCGACTCAAAGAGACGGTCCAGGTGCAGAACTCGGTGGAATATGACTGTTGTCTTGTCCGTGCCTGGGAGTGGGGATGGGGAGAGAGAGTGAGGGAGGGGTATGTAGGGGCTGAGAGTAGGGATGGGAGCACTGAGGTGAGGGCGTTTACACATGCTTGCTGACAGTTGATATTGACTTTTGAGGCGCCTCAAAAGGGATGGGAGCACTGAGGTGAGGGTGTTTACACATGCTTGCTGACAGTTGATATTGGCGTGGTTAAGGAGCTTCCAGAGAGTACGAATCTGGTATATTCGTTTGTACGTCTTGTAAAGAGCCTTCCGCACTGAAGCTCAAGCGCCACACAGCCCTGCCCGCATTAGAAGAACACTATAAACACCTGGAATAGCCTCATAACACCACATTACCTCACATCACACAATGAATCCATGTAACTCAGTTTGGGACTAGCACAGCAGAAGCAAGGAAGACCACTCAGAAGCAGGTAAAGCAGCTCAAGAGTCACGCGCTGACCACCATGGACCCCCTTTGACCCCGTTCAATAACCTTTGACCCCTCTGGACCCATTTTGACCCCGCCGAACCCTTATGACTCCCTCAGGACCCACCAGAGCGGCCATGTAGGACGAGGCTGGAGGGGCAGGTGACAGCAGCGCGCTCTTCCGCGTTGACCTCAAAGGGGACATGGCTCAGCGCACCGCTGAGCGCACCTGATCCCTGCGCCAGCAGCGCGAGTGCCATGGCGGGCTGCAGCGCTATGAACTTTGGTGGTGTCGCTGCGTCCCCTGCGTCCCCTGCCCCCTCGGTGGGGGCCTCTGAGAGGTGAAAGAGAGGGAGCAGAGCGGACGCATGGTGTGAGCTGGCAGGTGGGAGTGGAAGGAGAAAAGGGCGCTGAATTGGAAGGTGCCATCTAGCCAGCCATACCTGAGGGAGGGCGCCACCAGTGTATCCCGGGTTGCTGCACAGCAGCAGGCACGCGCAGGCGAGGTGAGGAGGAGCATGTGTACTGGTGCAGAGCGCAGTAGTGCAGGTAGGCAGGCGAGTAGCAGGTGAGGTGGGCGGATATGCGGTGCAGCCATGGCCTGCACTGGCTCTCCGGCACGAGCGCCCACAACCTCACCACCTGCTTATAGCACGAGATGCAGGGGGGGCATTGGGGGCATGGGCATTGGGCAGTAGACATGAGAAAACAGCAAGGCAAGTAATACTCGCCTTGTGTTTGCCTGACTCGTTTGAACACCATCGGTTAACCAGTCCTTAGCTGCTTGGACGTTCGAACAACGTCGCCTCGTTTTTACCTCAGCCTTACCTGCTTGAGCGTTTCATGGCACACATCGGTTGACCAGATAAGACAAAGGTCGCCGACCACATCCACATGCACGATGTCACCAAGCTGCCGTGACAGCTCATCCTCCCGCCCTCGCCCCGCCCCCTGCCCCCGCCCTCCAGCCAGCGATGCAGCGCCTTGCCGCCATTCTCCCCACGCCTGCCCTGCCGTCCCTGCAGTATGCGGCACAGCAGCAGCAGCACCTCCGCAGACTCATGCCGCTCCAGAGCCTCTCCAAATGATGGCGAAAACAGACCCTGTCGGGAATCGTTGGGAAGGGGAAGGAAGAGGGGAGAGAGAGAGGGGGTGGGGTAAGGAAGGAGAGAGGCAGGGGTTGAAGGGGAGTAAAAGGGGTGGGGGAAAGAAGGGGAGGCGAGGCGAGGGGATGTAGCCCGTGGGGAATGTTGGTTTGTGCAGGGAAGACGGAGCAAGGTGCATGCAGGAATACGGGGGGCGGTGGTGGAATGAGAAGGAAGGGGGTGAGACAGGGATCAATAACAGTGCCCCACCCACCGTCCCGCCCACAGGCCTCACGCCCTCACAGGCCAATAACATCAAACACGCCAGTCATACCGTCCACAGCAGATCATGCCACTGCATGGATCCTCCAGAGACGCTTCCCACAGCCCCCCCAGACGCGAATTCAGTAGCCTCCCCCAGCATCTGCGCCATCTCGTCCACTGCCGCGCGCCTTGCCCTCACCGCCCTCCTCAGTGCCTCGCCCAGTCGCTCTGCATCAAAGAACCTGCTGTGGGCCTTGGTGTGGCCAATGACACGGCGCCACGTGGCACTATCGGATGAGAGGGTGCCCTCGTGGCCCAAGATGATGAGGACACGTGCCGGGGTTGAGAGAGCAGCGCGGATCCTGTGATGGGGAAAAGGGATGAATGAGGCATGGCAAGAGCGGCAGAGCAGAGCAGAGGATGGTAGAATGGGCAACAGCACAGGCATACTGCAGCATGCACGCACATGGGCCAGCCACGATGCTTCGGGTGCATCCCATGCATGCCACGCAGGCCGTGTATAAGTCAAACCACGGAATGCTCTGCACTGAAAAGGCAGCATGGCAACATGAGTAGCAACACTAGCAGGCCCAGTAACGACCTGGAGGGAGGCCAGAGACGGCTGGAAGGGCGCGTGTGGAGGCGGACGCAGCAGGGGGGCGCAGACCGCGGAGAGCAACACCAGGTCGGCGCCAGCACAGCCACCGGAAAGACTGGGCCGGCCTGCCACAGCAATCTGCACGCCCACCACAGCCGCTGCTTGCCCCTGATGCTGCTTTTTTCCCCCACCTCTCCCTTCCTGCATCCCCTGCTGCTCTGCCTGCTGCTCGGCCTGCTGCCCTGCCAGCTGTCGCTGCGCCCTCGTCCACGCTTGTCTGCAGCGAGGCGCTGGGCGCGCGAGGGCACGAGCAGCAGCGCTGTGCGCAGGCCCTGCAGGGCGTGAGGCGGCAGCACTCGCTGCAGATGCTGCTGCCACTCTGGGGATCCCCGCCCATGCCTGCCACGTCGGGAAAGGCGTGGTGAGGGATGGGGAGAGCGAGTGGTGGGGAAAGGGGTGCGGAGTGGGATGGGAGAGCGAGTGGTGGGGAAAGGGTGCGGAGTGGGATGGGGAGAGCGAGTGGTGGGGAAAGGGGTGCGGAGTGGGATGGGGAGAGGGGAGGGGAGAAGGACGGGAGAGAGGCAGCGGTGGGCATACGGAGACGACAAGAAAGTGACGTCAAGGGAGGGCAGAGAAGCATGGATGCAAGGGAACGCATGGATGCAAGGGAACGCATGGATGCAAGGGAACGCATGGATGCAAGGGAACGCATGGATGCAAGGGAACGCATGGATGCAAGGGAACGCATGGATAAAAGACGAGCCTTCATTATTGGAGTGGATACGGAAGCAGGGATGAGTGGAACGATACGAGAGCAGACACAGCCGCACAAGGAGGAAGAAGCGACCCACCCGACACACCGGAGCACAAGGAGGACAGGAGCGACAGGGCAGCTACCACCTCCACTGTGTTCCTACGCCCCTGCCCCACCTCCTCCTCTACGTCACCCGCCGCCTCCTCCTCCGCCCCTTGCAATTCGGCGCCACGCCATCGCTCCCCTACACGTGTGGCACGGCCCTGAATGCTACTCTGACTGCCGTCCTCCCTGCCGTGCACTGCCAGAAACACGCAACGGTCGAGGCCGCACGCCTCAAGGCCAGTAGTACCCGTGCTGCCGCCGCTGCTGTGCTCCATGGCGCCGGTGAGGGCGGCGGTGAGAACGGCGGTGAGAGCGGCGGTGTGAGCGCTGGTGAGAGCGGCGGTGCGAGAAATAGGGGTCGGCAAAGAGGGGTTGAGGAGGACTGCTTCGTACTTCTAACAAGCGCTGGCCTCGGTCTTTGGGACAGTGACCAACAATGCCGCCTAATCGCTGGCTTTCGCGCTGTTTGTGCCGTGCAAGTTGAAAACTCTTGCCTTCCAACGATTTTGAATGTCGTGTGCGCGACAGAAACAGACGAGGCTCTTCGCGACGAAAGGCGAGCAGCAGTCCGCCAAGAGGGAGGAGAAGAAGGCGCATGGCAGGAGGACAATCTGTGCAAGAAGGCTGGTTACAATCAGCTGTGCACGCCGGCGCCAGCTCTCCCGCGGGTGCGCCGCGTGCATTCCAGCATGCGACGAGGGTAAGCCGAGATAAAACGATGTGCGCCATGTCAGGCCACAGCAGCATGAGTCTGTGGGATAGGCAAAATATGCTCGCACTCTACACGCCTTCCTCACGCCCAAGTTGCTCCTGTCACAGCACGGTGCCCCCAAGCCTCGATAGGACGTGGGTTCGGATAAGACCAGCACAGCGTGTTTTGTTTCGATGTTTGAACGGAACAATTGCAAAACCCGTAGCCAAAATTGCGCATCGCGCCG